GTCTGTGTGAGGGTGTCAGATCCCCTGGAACTGCAGTTACAGACAGTTGTGAGCTGCCTTGTGGATGCTGGGAATTGAACCCTGGGTTCTCTGGAAGACCAGTGAGTGCTCTTAACCGCTGAGCCATCTCCCCAGGACAACACAGCAGCTCTTATAAAGGGAAACATTTAGTTCGGGCTGGTTTACAGACATGGTGCTGGAGAAGGAGCTGAGAGTTCTACATCTGGATCAGCAGGCAGCAGAAAGAGCTAGACTTTGGGCCTGGCTTGAGCATTTGAAATCTCAAAGCCCACACCTAGTGACACATTTCCTCCAACAAGACCACGCCCACTCCAGCAAAACCATACCTCATGATAGTGCCTCTCCCTGATGACCAAGCATTCAAGTCTATAAACCTATAGGGGTCATTCTTACTATAGCAGGGTTATGGATGATTTTCGCAATCAGTGTTACCACCGTTATGACCTTTCTAAAATTATTTGCACCTGTATAACAATGGACATGTAATTATTCCAAGAAGGAACAAAAAAGTTCATGGGGAGACTGAGGTAGTTTGCAGAAGTATTAACCCTACCCTCTTTTTTTTTTTTTTGCCTCTGTTTTTCATGCTGACTCCCTGGCTCCTGGTTCTTCTTCCAGTCAAATGTAAGTCCCAATCTCTCTATATAAGCAAGGGTTGGGGTAGGGAGTCAGCTCAGGGAGATGGAAGAGGGAGGCAAACATATGGCTATCACCTTCTGCGGGAGCAGACTCAGAGCGTGGCCATTCAACCTAGATCTGAAGGTCATGGGGTGGGAAAGGGTTCATCTTCAAGGCCAGCCATTCTCTTAGATCTTGTAGGAATGATGCTTGCAAGAGAGGAAGAAAGAGTCCTTGGTTTCCATGACTTTGATATTAACATCCGTAGTGTGGGTGAAGTGACTTGGGTAGGAGCTCATTCTATGTGTATGGTCAGGCTGGACTGTGTATACACTGGTACATTTCAGGACAGACAGGCCTTCTTTTCTGAGAAGTAACCATCTCAGCCTCCAGCCGAGAACAGGAGGTAACAGCTGTTTTGGAGATCATATTCTGCTAATCTCCTGGAAGTCACGTGGAACAGGGAGGATTTAGATTCCTCACGTACATAACTGGTACCCCAGAGTCCATAGGTTGCATTAAAGTTCCTCATTCTGGTTCCTGACCCTTTTGTGGGGGGATCTCCGGGGTGCACTGAGGGACGATGCATAAAGGATGACTTAACTGATTCCATATCCCTTCTCAACTTTGATTGGACAAATGTTCACATTGGTCCTGGCTCATCCCCTTCTCCCTGATGCTCCCATGCCTACAGTGCTGAAAGGTAAGAGTCTCAATCTATTTCCTTCTCCATCTGCTCTAGTTGCCTTTGTCCCCACAGAAATAGCATGAGCTGGCTTTCAACCAGCATTTCCCCTCCTGTGTCCACAGCCCAGCTTCTCATCTAGGGACTAAAGGGAATCTGAGAACCTAGAATACCTCCTTTGGTCCAAATGTACCTGGCTTGCATCTTGGTGAGCACAAGATCAAGGCAAACTCAGTCCAGAAAGAAAAGAGTAAAGAAACAACCATCCCCTGTGGCAGGCAGGGACAGATAGTTGTGATTTACAGAGCAGAGCCCTCCAACACAGTTCACACACAGTCAAAAAGGAAAGCACTTGAGGGAAGATGCATTCCCAGTATGCTTAGTTGAAGGGTCTATCTAAAGAAGTGACCATGGAAGACACATTGTGAGGCATGTTTAGCTCACGGGCATGTTAGAAAAGTTAAAGGTGTTGGCTAGGGACACATCTGAGCATGTTCAGTTTGAATCACATACGTGGTGGAGAGGAATGTTTCTGAGCATGCTTGGCTTGTGTCTTAAGATGATTGACAGGAACATCTCTGCGTATGCTCTGTTGGCACCATAAAGTCAGTGGGATCGTTCTGGTATGCTATCTTTCATCATGAAATTTTCTTTGTTTTTGTTTTGTTCTGTTGTTTTAAAGACAGGGTTTCACTGTGCAACTCTGACTGGCCTGGGGCTCACACTGTAGACCAGGCTGGTCTCGAGCACTCAGAAATCTACCTGTCTCTGTCTCCCAAGTGCGGATATTAAAGACCTGCACCACCATATTCGATTAATCACAAAATTTTCGTTGAAAAAGGTGAAAGGAGAGTTTGAAGGAGTTTGTCTCTAAACAGGCCTTCCTTGCTAATACAAGCTTCAGAATGGGACAGAAACAGAAGCCATTTGGCCAGAGAGCAAACTTTAAATCTACCCTAGATCTAATTTGGCCAGAAAAAGTCACATGGGTTGGGAAGATGGCTCAGTGGTCAGTGTGCTCACTGAAAGCATTAAGACATGAATTCGGATTCCCAGAGTCCATCAAAAAGCCAGTGGGCATGGGATCTCAGCTGTAATTCCAGCTCCAGAAAAGCAGACATTAGCGATCCCCAAATCAAGATGAGGTGAGCCTAGCACCTTGCTCTACAGCCATCAAAGAGCTCCTTCCAACATGACTGCAGGCAGGCTGCTGGGCAGCCATCCTCAGCTCACTAAGTCCACCCTGAGTCTGCTGCAAAGGGACTCTTGGGAATCGCAGGGACCCCGAGCCTTCATCTCTTCAGGACCCAGTGTAGATTCCACTTTCCAGCATGTTCCCAGCCCCCAGCGTCTGACCTTGTTTTCCCTTTCTAATTATGGCTTTGTCTCTCTGACCCATCGAACCCAATGTTCTGCGCTTCATCTATAATCTTGGCCACCACGTCACCCCTCCCGATCCTGCTGCCATCAGGAATCCTGGGTAAGTGTGTGAATCCCATTGACAATGTCATGGACCGGGAAGTTCAATGGAAGACTTTGAGCAAGAATTTGTGGGCTGCGAGACAGTTGTAGTGGTGAATACCTTTAACCCCAGCACGCAGGAGGGAGAGGCAGGGACTCTGTGAGCTCAAGGCCAGCCAGAGTTCCAGAACTATGGGCTGCATAGACCCAAGAATTAAAATTGTGAACTGCACTGAAGGTTGTCTTTTGACCTCCACACATACACCATGACACATGTACACACACACACACACACACACACATACATGCACGCACGCACACACGCACATGTGCATATATTTAAAGGGGGTTGACAAGATGGATCAGGAGGAAGAAGTTTTTGCTGCTTGATGACCTGACCTCATCCTAGAGACATGGTAAAGGAAGAGAACCAACTCCTGCAAGTTGTCCTCTGCCCTTCATGTACCCAGTGTGATAAGAGCAACTCTTCACTCTTAAAGACCTGAGCTGGATCTCTCCGTGGTTAGAGCACCTACTGCTCCTCCAGAGGATCTGAGTTCAGGTCCCAACAGCCATGTCCAGCAGCCCATGACTGCTTATGACTCCAGCTCCAAGGGCGCCATCACCCTCCTCTGGTCTCAGCAGGCATTGCACTCACACGTACACACCCACACACATACGCACCCACACACGTACACACCCACACACGTACACACCCACACATGTACACACCCACACATGTACACACCCACACAGGTACACACCCACACACATACACATGAGAAAAACTTAAAAATTAAGTCTTGGGGGAAAACTGACAAGAAAAATGGCTTCTTAAACAGCATCAGAGGTTTATCTTCGGCCTCAATATGCACACGCGTGGATCTGTCACACCCGAGCACACACAGACACATGGAAAATTGCTACGATTTTAGCATGTGTTATACTCTCATGATGGAAGCCCAGAGATGGAATTAATTCAGAATCTAGTGGGGTCCTGGTCACGTACTGTATGACACCCATATGTTGGGTGAGTGAGGAATTGCATACACTCCAGCAGACCCTATTACCACTTATCAGTGCCATAGCACAAACCTCATTTTGAGGAAGTCCACGCTATGATGTCTGCTCAATAATTAAATTTCCTTCTGACTTGGTGTTCAAACCACACTGGAGGCAAACGGTGCCTTCTGTGACAGAGCTGGGACAAGGAATTGAGACTCTTAAAGAAATTCTGAACCAGTGGTCCTCCACCTTCCTAATGGTGTGACCCTTTAATTCAGTTCCTCATGTTGTGGTGACCCCAATATAAATATAAAATTATTTTCATTGCTACTTCATAACTGTAATTTTGCTACTGTTACGAATTGTAATGTAAATACCTGCTATGTGGACAGGCTTAGGCAACCCCCGTGAAAGGGACATTTGACCCCCGGGTTGAGAACCACTGCTCTAACTTGTTTTGATGCTCGCTGACCAATGGGTTTTCCTTTTCTCCATTAGTTAAAGAGTGACAGCCCTGCGAATTTGAGGCTAGCCTGGTCTACAGATCAAGCTCTGTCTACAGAACAGCCAGGGCTGCACAGAGAGACCCTGTGCAGGAGAATAGTTTGGCACACAGTGAATACTAAATGACAGATATTGTAGATTTATCAGGTAGAGGAGGGACTCTGAGACGGGCAGGAGAGCTGGGGTTTGGGGTTTTTATTGAGGAGGGGAGTTTAGGGTGTTTCACCTGCTTTTTTCCTTTAACCTGCTTTCTTTTGGTCTGAAGTTGTCTATGTGTCTCTTCTGTAGCAGGGACTGAGTCTCTGTCAATGTCCAGCAATGCAGAGACGCCCACATGGTTGACTGGGTCAGAGTGGGTGTCCCGACCTCCTTTGCTCTAGGGGTGTAATAGGTCCAAAGAGATCCACCTCACACGAGAGAAGATGGGCTACATCTCAGAGAGACAAAAACTGCTGGGAGAAAAAGCCACAGAGAAATGGAAACCTACAGCCTGTTGTTGGGGGAAAAAGCCATTTTAAACACAAACAGACTGGGTTTATAAGGCTCCACCTCCTGCCTTCCTAAGAGGCCTTGGCACCACAGCCAAACTTCCCCCAGAGGGTTGGCTGAGTCCCTAGGACTGGGAAAATCCATTCATTGTGGATTTTCTTTCTGTTGCAATTGCTGTGTGTTGACACATTTGTTTGTTTTTTGTCTCCTTCCTCAGAGCTGATGAGCAGACTGTCCCCGGATGGTAAGTGTGCATCTATGTCCTCAGCCCACAGTCTTTGCTCTTTCTTGTCAATGGGTGACACAGACCTTGTGAGGCTCCAGAATGCCTCATATCTTACCCAGTTCCATGCTTTGTTTATTTGGCTTTAAGTTTAAACTGTAAGACTTTAAGACAGTTCTGAAGCCATTTTTGACAATTCTGAATCCTCTCAGCCTCCGTGCCATAGTGCTTCCCCTCCTCCCCTGGGAACCAAGGACCTTACAGCTACACTCGCACGTACTCAGTTCCTGAACAATTACCCATGTACCTATGTTTTGATTCGGTCCCCTAGGAAACGGGATCAAAATGACCTCTTACCTCATCTGATCTGGCAACAGCTCTCCAGTCAATTATTGGTAATAGCCCTTTCGAATAAGCCAATCATAACCCCCCTTGCTTCTGTGGCCCCTTTAAAAGTAGACTGTACCTGCTATTTGAGGCCTCTCGGCTTCCCTAATGCTGGGGGACCCTGTCATGACAAAATTAATAAAATCCTCATGCTTTTGCATCAGCTGTGGTGTGTGAGGTGGTCTCTGGGGGCAACTCCTCAGTGTTTGGACGCTAGAGTCCAACAAAACTAAAAAATATAGATATTGAAGGAGAGCATGTGTAGAGGCAGGCATGTGGGGGTCAGAAGACACCTGGAGGGGAGTCGGTCCCTTCTTTCCACTGCGTGGGTCCCAGGATTAGAATTTAGATCTTCAGGCTTGCTAGCAAGCACCCTTGCATGCTGACCCATCTTTCTGTCCCAAAATATTTGGTGTGTGTGTGGGTGCACACACCTGTGCAAGCATGCAAAGGCCAGGGAGGACACTGGCTCTCCTATTCTGTGTCCTCCAGTCTTATTTACAGGAGTACTTCCACGAGACAGTCTCTTATTAAACCCGGGGCTCACTGTTTTTAGGTTGACTCAGACCAGCACGTGCCTGTCAAATTACCTGGTGTGAGTGAGAAGGAAACACGGAACAAGCAACAAACCTGCTTAGGAGTTTATTAGAGGGGTCATGTACAGGCCTGGGGAAGTCAGTGTGCAGAGAGAGAGAGAGAGAGAGAGGAAGATGGCGCATCCAGCTTGTGTACAGGGGGTTGACATGGCTACATCGCACGCAGATGATGGGGTTCATGCATGCGCGCAAGGGCTTATCTGAGTCATATGTGGATGATGTAACCACGCATGCATGCAACGGTTTATCTGAGTAATACGTGGATGATGTAATCCACACAGCACATGGGTCACGCGGTGCTCTTTAACATCCCCAAGGGCCATTAGGCACTTCTGCCTGAGGGCTTATCTGCACGTGCATGGCCCCTAGAACCCGTAAGTATCAGCCTTATTGTGGCTGAAATCTTTACATTCTGGGATCCTTCTGTTTAACATCTCCCTAGTAATTGGGATTACAGGTGCGGCTGGCCTTAGCCAGTTTTTTACGTGGGTGTTGCTAAGGGAACTGGAACTTAGTTGGATCCTTAGACTCTCGTTTGAGGTAGGAACAATCTACTTCTCTATTCCTGGAGTACGAGGTCTGGCTATTAGCCACGCCTGTTGACAATAACCTTGAGAGAGCAGAACTCTCTGACTTAAATCTAGGTGAGACCTTTGTTTGAGGTTGAAGCAAAATTAACCTTGAAGGAACTAGAGGTAAGTTCCAATCCTCTGACCTTTGGTCAACACAGAAATAGGCTCACATTTCCGGGCCTTCACATGTACGTGTAAAGCAGTGGTTCTCCATCTTCCTAATGCTGTGACCCTTTAATACAGTTCCTCATGTTGTGGTGACCTCCAACTACAAAATTATTTTGTTGCTACTTCATAACTGTATTACTGCTGCTGTTATGAATCTTTTTTTTTTTTGAGACAAGGTTTTTGTGTAGCTTTGGAGCCTGTCCTGGAACTAGCTCTTGTAGACCAGGCTGGCCTTAAATTTACAGAGATCCACCTGTCTCTGCCTCCCAAGTGCTGGATTAAAGGTGTGCATTATCACCGCCCAGTTCGCTGTTATGAATTTTAATGTAAGTATCTGGTATTCAGGATATCTGATATGTGACCCTCCCCAAATGGATCATGACCCACAGGTTGAGAACCACTGGTATAAGCCATTATGATATAATAGGATAGTATTCCATTAACATCTGTACAATCAGCTTGGAGTTGAGAGTGGGTAAGGTCAGAATCATTGGGGAATTGGGGACAAAATAGCAAGTGACAAAAACTCAGCAACTGTCAGCAAAATGGCTCACTGGGCAAAGTTGCTTACTGTTTAGCATGACGACCCAAGTTCAATCCTCAGGACCTACATGGTGGAAGGAGAGAGCCGATGCCTACAAGATGCCCTCTGAGCTCCACATGTGTGCCATGATGCACACATACCCCCATTAATTAAAAGGGAAGGAAAATACAGCTAACTGGAGTGTTTCACATCTGTAACTCCAGCACTGAGGAGCAGAAGCAAGAGGGTCTTACGTTCAAGGACAGTCTGATTACCTAGTGAAGTCCCAGGCTGTATCTTTTACTTTTCTCATGGCAGTGACAGAATACCCCAAGCTCAGGGAAGGGAGGGTTTATCCAGTTTACAGTTTGAGAGGGTAGCATGGAGGGGAAATCATGGTGTTGGGAAACTGAGGCAGCTGGTCACGTTTTGCATGCACAGTCAGGAAGCGGAGGGTGATGACTGCAGATGCGCAGGTCGCATACTCCTTTCATACAGCCCATGGGATGATTAATCTCCTTAAATGAGCTAAAGGGATTTCAGATCTGCTTCACGTTTTTCTAAGATGGGGAGATGCCATGCCATGGTTTTATAGTGTGTGTGTGTGTGTGTGTGTGTGTGTGTGTACACGCACACATGTGTGTTGTCCAGGGAAACTTCAGTTGGTAACAGTGACGTTTCTCATTCTGGAATCTTTCGTATGAAGCTTATTTGTTCTACTTCAATTCCATTTTCTTTTTTTGAGACAAGATCTCCTGTGCTACCCAAACTCTTCTTAACCTTCAGTCCACCTGTGTCTTCTCCTGAGTGGTGATGCCACACGGGTGCACCACCTGAATATGATTCCATTGCATATATGTGCAGCGTATGCAGGTGTGAACGTTAGTGTGTGCATGGGTGTGTATATCCACACATGTTCCTGTGGAGGCCAGAGGTCAGAGTCAGCTGTCTCCTTCAGTTGCTCTCCACAGTGGTTTTTCTTGAGACATACTCTTCACTGAACATGGACTTCACTGTTTCTTTTTATTTTTTAAAATATATTTATTTTTGTCTTATGTTTACGGCTGTTTTGTCTGCATGTATGTCTGTGAACCATTTGCATGCAGTGTACAAAGGAGCCAGAAGAGGGCATCATATATGCTGAAGCCAGGAGTTACATGAAGTTGTGAGCCTCTCTGTGGGTGCTAGGAATCAGAACTTTGGCAAAAATCGGTGTTCTTTTTTTATTTATTTTACTTTATTTATTTAACTTATTTTACTTTATTTGTTTTTTGTTTTTTTTCTTTTTTTTTTTGAGACTGGATCTCTCTGCTGCGATTGAAGGCATGTGCCATCACTGCCCAGCTCAGCCAGTGCTCTTAACTGCTGAGCCACCTTTCCAAGCTTTCCTGGTTGTGTTTTTATGTTGAGGAAATGGAGGAAAAATGTCATGCAGCTAGGAGGTGAATGAACCAAGATTTGAACACAAGTCCTGTTTGTTTCACAACACCCCCATTGGACCCTAAAGCCCACTTACCAAGGGGGGGTCGCCCCAAAAGACCACCCTCATACCACAGTTGCTACAAAAGCAAGAGGAATTTTATTTACTGCCACAACAGGGCCCCTCAGCCTCGGGAGGAGAAGGACCCCGAGTGGCTGTTACAGGCTACTTTCAAAGGAAAAAACCACAGAAGCAAAGGGGGAGTCTAAGTGTCATTTGTCAACTATTGTGACTAGCTCATTTAATGGTCAGATAACTATAATTGCCATGGTGGTTTCTGGGTTGGTTGAGCAAGGAGGACCATCTGCAGGTCATTTTATCCCAGTTCCAGGAACTGGGTCTATTGAAGAAAAACCGCAGAGGGATGAAAAGTACCTGGGAAATGCTTGGGTGATTATCAGGTTTCTGGTTCCCAGGGAAAGAGGGGCAGTAATGCTGAGATGGCCCAGAGTCTTTCACCCCTTCCTCTTAGAACAGAGTCTAGGATGTAGAGATGGCTCACGTCTTGGCATTATCTGCCCATCCGTAATCTTGTCTCTCGGCCCTTTCACAGCTGAGTTCTTTCCAGGCAGGGCCATCTTTTCTTCCATTCAGTTAATCCCTGCTCATCTTTCAGGTTTCAGACAAAACATCATATCCTCCTCCAAGATGCCTCCCCTGGTAACCACTCCAGGTCAGCAGCCACCCCTTTATAAGCTCCTGCCATGCCCTTCAGGTTATCTCTGTCCCACTTCACAAGGCTTTTGGTCCCCTTCCTTTGTAAGTTCCTGGAAAGCCATGGACATTGTTCATTGGGATAGATACTGTCTCACCCAAATCTTCTTATGCCGGATGCAGTAGGTGCCCACGGATGTCTATTAGGAGAAAGGGAGCCTGCAGACTCAAGTCCCCGTCTTTCCCTGTAAACCAAGCAGTGGCCTGCTATCTGGTAGTGTTCTCATCTCTGGTCTTGACTGGTCAGGGATGCTTATGGGTGGTAAAACTATTAATCTCTCTCTCTCTCTCTCCCTCCCTCCCCCACCCCCACCTTCACTTCCACCCTCAATCCATCTCTCTGCACCCCTGTTGAACATGGCTGCATTCATTTCTCCATACAGACAAGACGGAAGAAGAATGTAAGTACTTTGAAAGTTTATGACTGCCAACTTCTCATCCTCTCCCCGCCCCCATATTGCCAGGGATTGAACTCAGAACCTATGTGTGCTGGGAAGGTGTTCTACTGCTGAACCATACCCCCAGGCCTCACTGGGGGATTCTAGACAAGTGCGGTACCGATGAGCTACACCCCAGAAGCATTTCTTCTGTTTTTAAACAAGTTCTCTCTAAACTGCCTAGGATAGCCATGATTCAACTCTGTCTCAGAATAAAAAGTAAAAAGAGAGAATTGCTCAGTGGTAGAGCCCCTGCCTAGAATCCCCCAGTGAGGGGCTGGGGTGTGGCTCAGTGGTAGAGCCCCTACCTAGAATCCCCCAGTGAGGGGCTGGGGTGTGGCTCAGTGGTAGAGCCCCTGCCTAGAATCCCCCAGTGAGGGGCTGGGGGTGTGGCTCAGTGGTAGAGCCCCTACCTAGAATCCCCCAGTGAGGGGTTGGCTCAGTGGTAGAGCCCCTGCCTAGAATCCCCCAGTGAGGGGTTGGCTCAGTGGTAGAGCCCCTGCCTAGAATCCCCCAGTGAGGGGCTGGCTCAGTGGTAGAGCCCCTGCCTAGAATCCCCCAGTGAGGGGCTGGGGGTGTGGCTCAGTGGTAGAGCCCCTATCTAGAATCCCCCAGTGAGGGGCTGGGGTGTGGCTCAGTGGTAGAGCCCCTGCCTAGAATCCCCCAGTGAGGGGCTGGGGTGTGGCTCAGTGGTAGAGCCCCTACCTAGAATCCCCCAGTGAGGGGCTGGGGGTGTATTCAGTGATAAAACCCCTACCTAGAATCCCCCAGTGAGAGGCTGGGGGCGTGGCTCAGTGGTAGACTGCTCTGCCAGCATATACAAGGCCCTAAGCTGAATGCCCAGCACCACAACAAAAAAGTTTGCTAGAGCAAGTAATTCACAAGTTAGGCAGAGAAAAACCAGGAGTGGTTTGGGCAACTCTGTCCAGACAGGAGAGCGGGGCTGGAGGACAGTGGATGGAGGGATGATAATGGACGGGTTACAGTCATTCCATTGATTTACTTGGTCCACTCCATTGCAAAGTCCCTGATAGTACAATGTAAGTATATTGGATGTTTTTGATTGGCTGAGCCAAATTCTCCATTTCTCTAGTCTAATGCAACTTGAATTTCCCTTAACTGAAACGCCCATGGCTAGAAATGTTTCAAATGTCCAATGTTCGGAATCGTGAACATGGACATAGACTTTATCCATCCAGCACCTCTTACCCAAAACCCCCAAATCTGCTGGACAGCACCCAACTCCAAAGCTGTATGTGGTGGCTCACACTTGTAATTTCAGCTCTTGGGAGACAGAGATTGCCTTGATTTCAACCTACATCAAGAGTTGGTAGGTAGACCAAAAAATGGCCTTGGTCTATGGAGTGAGAAGACCCTATCTTTTTTTTATTTTTTTTTTAAAGTTTTTCGAGACAGGGTTTCTCTGTAGCTTTGGAGCCTGTCCTGGAACTAGCTCTTGCAGACCAGGCTGGCCTTGAATTTACAGAGATCTGCCTGCCTCTGCCTCCCGAAGGCTGGGATTAAAGGTGTGTGCCACCATTGCCCGGCTGGAAAGACCCTATCTCAAAAATAAAAAAAATGAATGGAAGCTGGAGAGATGACTCCGTGGCTATCATCACTTTCTGCTCTCCCAGAAGACTCAAGTTCATGTTCTAGCACCTGCTAAGACAGCTTACTATTGCCTGTAACTCCAGCTGGCCTTCAAGCACAGACATATGGCATCATTTTACACAGACTTATATGCATAAATAAAAACAAAATAAGCCTTAAAAATGAAAGCAAACTAAAGTGAAGCTATTCAAGCATCACTTTGACACTCCAAAAGCTTGTCACTGGGGCATTTTGGGTTAGGGATGGTCAGCCCGTGCAGGCGTTGATGGGAAATGGTTCAAGTTAGACTTGATACTGCCCACAGATGAGGTTAGGCTGAGACCACCAGAGAATGGTGGCTTTGTCTGCTCGGGGATCCTGCAGACCTGGTCTCCTCTCAAGTTTGTTCCGCAGAATGCAAGAACAATTGTTAAATACTTTAAAAAACATTTTATGAGGGGAAAAAAAAATGGAAGGTACCAGGGACGGAAGGAACTAATATTCATTCTATTCCCTGCCCATTCTTTTCTACTTGACCTTTGGTTCTGCTTCCAACCCGCCATCCAGTGAAAAGTAAGTTGTTTTTCCTTTTATGACTGATGTCCTTTGGTGTTTGGTGGAAGAGTCTCTACATGTACTCTCTATATAACCAAGGATGACCTCAAACTCTTGACCGTGTCTCAGCCTTTGGAGTGCTGGGATTACAGGTGTGCACTACCACACCTAGCACAGGAAATAGTTTCTACAGTTTCTCCCTTCTGGTGGGTCACTTGGAAGGAGGGGGAACAGAAAAGCAGGGAGCCAGGCATAGTGGTCCATGCCTTTATCCCAGCCCTCATGGTGGTCCATGCCTTTTTCCCAGTCCTCATGGTGGTCCATGCCTTTATCCCAGCCCTCATGGTGGTCCATGCCTTTTTCCCAGTCCTCATGGTGGTCCATGCCTTTATCCCAGCCCTGATGGTAGTCCATGCCTTTATCCCAGTCCTCATGGTGGTCCATGCCTTTATCCCAGCCCTCATGGTGGTCCATGCCTTTATCCCAGCCCTCTGGAGACTGGGGATTAGCAGCTGAAGGCTATAGCAGTTACATATTGAGTTTGAGGTTAGCCTGGGCTACATAAGGTTCCATCTCAAAGAAAAAAATGCAAAGAAAAAGGAGAGGGGAGAATAAAGAGAGGGGATGGGAGGAGAAGAGAAAACTAATTTTGTTTTTTTGTGGGGTTTTTGTTTGGCTTTGTTTTGTTGTTGGGTTTTTTGTTTGTTGGTTGGTTTGGTTTGGTTTTTTGTTTCATTTTGGTTTTTTTTGTTTTGGTTTTTCAAGACAGAGTTTCTCTGTGTAGCCCTGGCTGTCCTGGAACTCACTCTGTAAACCAGGCTTGCCTATGCCACTACCTCCCACCCTGCGAGAATGCTGTGTTTATAGGAATTTACCCTACTTGTGGAGGAGACTCCAGGTGGCCTTCAGGCTCCACCCACTTCCTGGGGCTGCATGGTGGGGTCCCAGAATTGAGCAGCTTCTCCATTCTCCCCATTTCCCTAGAGCATGGGACCGCAGGAGTTATGTTTGTTTATAGGTCGAAAACAAAACAAAGCAAAACAAAACAAGATATCAGGAACCAAGTTTTCCTCCCTCACTCGGGGAAAGAGAGAAGAGTAGAGACCCTTTCCTGATGCCCTGTAGGCATCTGGAGGATGAATCCCCAGAGGAACTGGGGCCAGGGGATTCCAGCAGTAAGGATGAATATGTCTTAAGATACTGGGTCACAGCCGATCCAGTATCTCTGTATACAGCCTCACCAGTGCCATTTGGACTGGATGATATTTCCATGACCCTTATGGGGTGGGCCTCTTCGGAGGATGCTCTGGCGGGATGGGAGAAGGCCAGGCATCGCTAACACCCTTTTCCTCTCAAACCTTCACTTCCGCTGGTACCCAACACCTCCACCTGGACTTCCTTCTCCTTGATGCTCCTGTTTCAACAGTATTGAAGAGTAAGTTCAGTTTTCTTCTTTTCATTTGCTTTTCCCTTCTTGTTCCCGCCAGGAGGTCCCCTATTGGTGCAGGGACTGTAGCAGGGTCCCCCATTGGTGCAGGGACTGTCGAGGGGTCCCCCATCTGTGCAGGGACTGTCGCGGGGTGGGAATGGGGGGTAGAGTGGGACTGCACTTCTTCCATCTTAAAAAAGGCAGGCATAGGAATAAGAGGATGACTCATAGGGAAACCGGGCTGGCGACTAAGCCTGAGCTCGATTCCCGGCATCCACATGGTGGAAGGAGAGAACTGACTCCTGCTGTTGTCCTCTGACCTCTACATGCGTGCTGTGGCACACGTACATGTACACACACACACACACACACACCAATAACAAAACAAAATGTAATTGAAAAAATTATAAGAGTCTTAAAGAGATGGTTCAGAGATTAAGAGCACTTGTTGCTCTTCCAGAGGACCTGAGTTCAGTTCATATCTGGTGATTCTTATCTGCTTGTAACTCCAGCTCCAGGGGGATCTGATGCCCTCTTCTGCTCTTGATGGATACCTGCACACACACACACAAATAATAATAATAATAATAATTAATAATAATAAAATATTAAAGCAGGATTTTGGGGAAATGACTCAGTGGTTAAGAGAGCTTGCTGTTCTTGCAGAGAACACAAGTTTGGTGACTCACATTTATCTGTAACACCGATCCCTGGGGTGATGCCCTCTTCTGGCTTCTGTAGGCACTTGCATTTATGTGGTAAACACACACACATGCACACACACATATATATACACACAGAGAGATACATACACATACACACATAAATAAAAATAAAAATAAATGCTTTTTAAAATTAGGGGCTGGAGAGGAGGATCGGTGGTTAAGAGCACTGGCTGCTCAGAGAGCCTGGGTTCAATTCTTGACAGTCACACGACACCTCACAACCGCCTGTAACTCCGGTTCTGAGGGACCCAACGCCTTCCTCTGACCTCTAAGGGCACCAGGTATATGTGTGGTCTTTTTCAGTTCAGCTCTGCTCTAAGGCCCACTGTCCTGGGCTCGGAGCTTGTTTGGCCCCTACCTGTCTAACGTTGTGATTTGTTTCTCCCTCTTGTGGTCTTGTCTCTCATGGACCCTGGGCTCATCACTACTTCCTGCCTCCTGGATGGATCACAGAGGTCCTTGGTAAGCACCTTGTTCTGTGTGGGCCCTGGACCTACGCACCAAGCTTCTGTTTTATCGCCTTGTGTGCCAGAGTGTGGGGGAGGGGGAATCTGAAATGTGGTGTCGGTGGGTGCAGACCTCCCTGGAAATTCAGCACCTGCCATGCAATTGCCAGAACCCACACTGGGAGTGATGGTGCACACCTATAATCCTGGTACTAGGAAGACACAGACAGGTGGATCTCTGGGGCTCACTGGCCAGCCAACATAGCCTACGTGGTGAGCTTAAGGCCAGTGAGAGACTCTGTTTCTAAAAATAAGATGGACAGCCCCTGGAAAAAAAATCACAACTGGGCTTGGCCTCTGGCCTCCCTGAATGCAGGCATGTATGCCTGTGCACATGGTACACACACACACACACACACACACACACACACACACAGAGCGAGAGAGAGAGAGAGAGACAGAGACAGAGACAGAGACAGAGAGACAGAGAGAGAGAAAGAAAGAGCACGAGAGAGAGAGAGAGGCAGAGATAGAGGGAAAGAGATGGGGAGGGTAGCAGCAGGATGCTTCAGCAGGTAAAGCTCTTGCTGAGAAGCTTGATGACCTAAGTTTGAGTCCCAGGTCCCCTGCAAGCTGTCTTTTGATCATCATGTGCTTGTTAGAATACGCTTGTGCTCACGGTCACATGCATAAACATATATACACAAATAATAATAGTGGTGATGATGATGGGGGGTGCTGGGCAGAGTGGCATACACCTTTAATGCTAGAGGCAAAAGAAGGACAGATCTCTGTGAATTTGAAGCCACCCTGGGCTACATAGCAAGTTCCAGGTCAGCCAGGACTACACAGTGTGACGTTGTCTCAATAGAAGTGTTAACAAATATATTATAGACTCAACAAGTCTTCCCAGAGAGAAATTACTATGTGCTTAAAAGTCTTTAATGAGCCTGAGTGGTCCAGACTAACGCATAGATGGGAACCAGCTCTGAACAGAAAACCCTATCAGCTTATAAAGTATCACAGCCCCGAGTTGCATTTTGAGCAATGAAAACATGTTTCACAGAGACAGAAAAGCCAGGCTTTGGTTGTTTGGATAGATGTGTGGGAGAGAGTTCCAGTGTTCCTAGTGAGACACACTAGGGCTGCTTTACCAGGTAACTGTCAACCAGGGTCATCCTGCCTGCCTGACAGAATCACACTTCTGAATAGGAAAACCAGAGAGCTCTTTTAGCTAAGTGCTGCTTTGTGTGGGTTAAGATTTCCTAAGCAAGTTCAGTAGACATTTGTATTATCAATGTACTGTTCCCAGTTTCTCCTACATCAGAAAGAAGGAAGGAAAGAAGGAAGCAATCGAGGAGGCAGGCAGGCAAGCAAGTGGGCCAGAATTCTGCAGGGCTTTTTAGGAGACGGGTTGGGGGTGAGCCTGTGGGCCCTACTGCCCTAAGTTCTGCCTGTGATTCTATTTGCATGTCTCTTTGTCTTAGGTCTGCTGAGCCTCCAAGTGCTGAGTGGTGAGTTGGTGACTTGATCATTTTGTTTTTAGGGTTGGAAGAGCCTTTAGATGTCACAAAACAAATGCAGTTAGCATTCTGGTGAGAGGCGATCAGGGTGTTCAAGAAGCTCAGAGTCTGAACACTGTTGTTCTCTGAGGAGAGGTGTGCAGGGGACATGATAACCCAGTGTGTCAGTGTAGTAATAGGAGTGGCGGGGCTGCGTCCCCAGCACCCCGGCTGCCTGGCTAGCTTATGCCCTGAAATAACAACACACAAACTGTATTCTTTTAAACACTGCCTGGCCCATTAGTTTCAGTCTCTTAACCCATTTCTAATAATCTATGTAGCACCACGAGGTGCACTTACCAGGAAAGATTCAGCATGTCTGACCTGGTGGCTGGCTGCATCCCCGTCTGCCTCAGAGAGCAGAGCTATCGCGTCTGCCTGGGAGAGGGGAGCATGGCGTCTCTGCTCCAGAGAGCAGAGCTGTCGAGTCTGAGCTCACTTCCTCTTCTTCCCAGCATTCTGTTCTGTTTACTCCTCCCACCTATGTTTTAACCTATGAGGCCAAGCAGTTTCTTTATTACTTAACCAATGACCTTCCTCCATCATGTCAGAGAGTGCTGGAAGAAGTTACATCTGAGCAAAGGGGGGGACCCACAGACATGTGCACACCATATGCGTTTGTGTGCATGCGTGTGTATCTGGGGAAGGGCACTGCATGCCGGGGAATGGCATATGTGTAGCCAGGTAGCTGGGAGTGTCTGAGTCAAGGGCCACCAAGGAGGTCAAGGGCAGCCCTCTTTCACCCAGCAGGCCCAGAAGTAGCATTTACAGCTGGCTTCCCACCCATTCCCTAACTTTTCTTTTTTCTTCTCTTTCCCCTGCTCTCTTCCTTCCTCTCCTTCCTCCCTTCCTCTACCGTCCCTGTCTTTTTCCTCCTTAGAAGAAGCAAATGGCTGCAAAGAAGAAGGTGGGTAAAGCCACGTGTCTGTTCCCTCCTCCGGGCAGTTAGAACCTTCCCTCTGACTGAGACCCCTGAAGAGGTCAGAGTTCAGTTGCATCTCAGGCTTCAGGAAGCCTCTGTAGCCCTCAGCCACCTTTTTCCTCCTCCTCTGCTCCTTTGTGCCAAGCACAGCAAGGTAAGAGGAGGTATTCTGCTTCTGCGGACCTGAGTCCCCCTCTCCCCTGCTCTGCTCCCTTGGAAATGACCGGGTAAGTTGAATGACAGGCGTGTGTGCTGGAAACAAAGAGAGGGTGGATGGGAGACCACATAAGCAGACATCCTCCTCCAAGTGATGGTGGATGGTGTAGACCAACCACATAAGCAGTCTTCTTCCTCCGAGTGATGGTGGATGGTGTAGACCAAGCACATAAGCAGACATCCTCCTCCGAGTGATGGTGGGTGGTGTAGACCACATAAGCAGACATCCCCCTCCGAGTGATGGTGCATGTTGTAGACCACATAAGCAGACATCCTCTTCTGAGAGATGGTGGATGGGAGACCACATAAGCAACATCCTCCTCCGAGTGATAGAGACAGTGGAGAGAGTTAAAGGAGCTTGGATTAAGCTGTGGGGTAGGATTCCATAGAGTGCTTGCTTAGTAGGTACAAGGGCCTGGGTCTGATCCCCAGGACCACACACCTACAAATCCAGGGCTCAGGAAGAAGAGGCAAGAAGATCAGAAGTGTAAGGCTAGCGTGGGCAGCTTATGAAGGTCCAAGGCCAGTTTGGATTTCAAGAGACTCCTTTTTAAAGCACAGAAAAGAGAAATAGCACCAAAACAGATAGGTAGGACCACTGGATATCCCGATCAGATGCCAGCCTCAGTGGCAGAGTTGGGGGCTCACAGGTTACAAGCTGGATCAGACCGAGTAGCCAATACAAGGCCACTTTAGGATAGTGAGTGTCTATAGTAAAAGCAAACAAAACAAAATGGACAACAGCAACAGCAAAAACAACACAAACAAACAAACAAAAAACCTGGGCATGGAGCACTTAAGATAGTAATTCTCAACCTTCCTCATGCTATGACTCTTTAATAAAATTCCTCACGTTGTGGTGACCCCAAACACAAAATGGTTTTCCTTGTTGCTTCATAGCTGTGATTCTGCTACTGCTATGAATCATAATGTAAATCCCTGTGTTTTCTGATGGTCTTGGAACCCTGTGAAAGGGTTGTTTGATCCACAAAGGGGATGTGAATCACAGGTTGAGAAACAATGACTTAGGAGGTAGAGAAAGAAAAAGTTCAAGGCTAACCTAGGCTACATAGCCAGCTGGAGGCCAGCCTGAGATCCTAAGATTCTGTCTCAAAAAAAAAAATCTAAAATTATCAGTAATGTCACCAGAAAAGTATAATTTATAACAAGTATTGGAATTCTTTTTTTAAATTTATTTATTTATTAAGGATTTCTGCCTCCTCCCTGCCACCGCCTCCCATTTCCCTCCCCCTCCCCCTATTAAGTCCTCCTCCCTCCTCCTCTCAAAGAGCAATCAGGGTTCCCTGACCTGTGGGAAGTCCAAGGACCGCCCACCTCCATCCAGGTTTAGTAAGGTGAGCATCCAAACTGCCTAGGCTCCCACAAAGCCAGTACGTGCAGTAGGATCAAAAACCCATTGCCATTGTTCCTGAGATCTCAGTAGTCCTCATTGTCTGCTATGTTCAGCAAGTCCGGTTTTATCCCATGCTTTTTCAGACCCAGGCCAGCTGGCCTTGGTGAGTTCCCGATAGAACATCCCCATTGTCTCAGTGTGTGGGTGTACCCCTCGCGGTCCTGAGTTCCTTGCTTGTGCTCCCTCTCCTTCTGTTCCTGATTTGGACATTGAGATTTCTGTCCGGTGCTCCAATGTGGGTCTCTGTCTCTGTTTCCTTTCATCGCCTGATGAAGGTTAATATTCAGGAGGATGCCTATATGTTTTTCTTTGGATTCACCTTCTTATTTAGCTTCTCTAGGATCACAAGTTATAGGCTCAATGTTCTTTATTTATGGCTAGAAACTAAATATGAGTGAGTACATCCCCTGTTCCTCTTTTTGGGTCTGGCATACCTCACTCAGGATAGTGTTTTCTATTTCTATCCATTTGTATGCAAAATTCAAGAAGTCCTTGTTTTTTACTGCTGAGTAGTACTCTAATATGTATGTATTCCATACTTTCTTCATCCATTCTTCCATTGAAGGGCATCTAGGTTGTTTCCAGGTTCTGGCTATTACAAACAATGCTGCTATGAACATAGTTGAGCATATACTTTTGTTGTATGATAGGGCGTCTCTTAGGTATATTCCCAAGAGTGGTATTGCTGGGTCCAGGGGTAGGTTGATCCCGAATTTCCTGAGAAACCACCACACTGCTTTCCAGAGTGGTTGCACAAGTTTGCATTCCCACCAGCAATGGATGAGTGTACCCCTTCCTCCACAACCTCTCCAGCAAAGGCTATCATTGGTGTTTTTTATTTTAGCCATTCTGACAGGTATCTTAAAGTTGTTTTGATTTGCATTTCCCTGATTGCTAAGGAAGTTGAGCATGACCTTAAGTGTCTTTTGGTCATTTGAACTTCTTCTGTTGAGAATTCTCTGTTCAGCTCAGTGTCCCATTTTATAATTGGGTTGATTAGCCTTTTACGGTCTAGTTTCATGAGTTCTTTATATATTTTGGAGATCAGACCTTTGTCAGTTGTGGGGTTGGTGAAGATCTTCTCCCAGTAAGTGGGTTGCCTTTGTGTCTTAGTGACAGTGTCTTTTGCTTTACAGAAGCTTCTCAGTCTCAGGAGGTCCCATTTATTCAATGAGGCCCTTAATGTCTGTGCTGCTGGGGTTATATGTAGGAAGTGGTCTCCTGTACCCATGTGTTGTAGAGTACTTCCTACTTTCTCTTCTATCAGGTTCAGTGTGTTCAGACTGATATTGAGGTCTTTAATCCATCTGGACTTGAGTTTTGTGCATGGTGATAGATATGGATCTATTTTCATTCTTCTACAGATTGACATCCAGTTTTGCCAGCACAATTTGTTGAAGATGCTCTCTTTTTTCCATTGTATACTTTTAGCTCCTTTATGGAAAATCAGGTGTTCATAGGTTTGTGGGTTAAAGTCAGGGTCTTCTATACGATTCCATTGGTCGACTTCTCTGTTTTTATGCCAATACCAAGCTGTTTTCAATATTGTAGCTCTGTAATAGAGTTTGAAGTCAGGAATGGTAATGCCTCCAGACGATCCTTTATTGTATAGGATTGTTTTGGCTATCCTGGGTTTTTTGTTTTTCCATATAAAGTTGATTATTGTCTTCTCCAGATCTGTGAAGAATTTTGATGGGATTTTGATGGGGATTGCATTGAATCTATAGATTGCTTTTGGTAGAATTGCCATTTTTACTATGTTGATCCTCCCAATCCAAGAGCAAGGGAGGTCCTTCCATTTTCTGGTGTCCTCTTCAATTTCTTTCTTCAAAGACTTGAAGTTCTTGTCAAATAGATCTTTCACTTCCTTGGTCAGAATTACCCCAAGATATTTTATGCTATTTGTGGCTATTGTGAAAGGTGATGCTTCTCTGATTTCCCTCTCTGCTTCCTTATCCTTAGTGTATAGGAAGGCAACTGATTTTTTGGAGTTAATCTTGTATCTTGCCACATTACTAAAGGTGTTTATCAGCTGTAGGAGTTCTTTGGTAGAGTTTTTGGGGTCGCTTATGTATACTATCATATCATCTGCAAATAACGAAAGTTTAACTTCTTCCTTTCCAATACGAATCCCCTTGATCCCCTTATGTTGTCTTATTGCTATTGCTAGAACTTCAAGCACTATATTGAAGAGGTATGGAGAGAGTGGACAGCCTTGTCGTGTTCCTGATTTTAGTGGGATGGCTTTGAGTTTTTCTCCATTTAATTTGATGTTAGCTGTCGGCTTGCTGTAAATAGCTTTTATTATATTTAGGTATGACCCTTGTATCCCTAATCTTTCCAAGACCTTTATCATAAAGGGGTGTTGAATTTTGTCGAATGCTTTTTCAGCATCTACTGAAATGATCATATGGTTTTTTCTTTCAGTTTATTTATATGATGGATTACATTGATAGATTTGTATATGTTGAACCAGCCCTGCATCTCTGGAATGAAGCCTACTTGATCATAATGGATAATTTTTCTAATGTGTTCTTGGTTTCGGTTTGCCAGTATTTTATTGAGAATATTGCGTCGATATTTATGAGTGAGATAGGCCTGTAATTCTCTTTCTTGGTTGGGTCTTTGTGTGGTTTTGGTATCAGGGTAACTGTAGCTTCATAAAAGGAATTTGGCAATGACTCTTCTGTTTCTATATTGTGAAATACATTAAGGAGTATAGGTATTAGTTCTTCTTGGAAGTTCTGGTAGAATTCTGCATTGAAACCATGTGGTCCTGGGATTTTTTTGGAAGGGAGATTTTTGATAACCATTTCTAATTCTTCGCGACTAACAGGTCTATTTAGATCATTCACCTGGTCTTGGTTTAGCTTTGGTATATGGTACTTATTTAAAAAATGTCCATTTCTTTTGTATTTTCCAGTTTTGTGGCATACAGGCTTATGTAGTAAGATCTAATGATTCTCTAAATTTCCTCTGTGTCTGTGGTTATGTCCCCCTTTTCATTTCTGATCTTATTTATTTGCGTGTTCTCTCTCTGTCTTTTAATTAGTTTGGATAGGGGTTTGTCGATCTTGTTGATTTTCTCCAAGAACCAACTTTTTGTTTCACTGATTCTTTGGACTGTTTTCTGTGTTTCTATTTTGTTGATTTCAGCCCTCAGTTTGATTATTTCCAGTCTTCTACTCCTCCTGGGCGTTTCTGCTTCTTTTTTTTCTAAAGCTTTCAGGTGTGCTGTTAAGTCCCCGATGTATGCTTTCTCTGTTTTCTTTAAGTGGGCACTTAGTGCTATGAACTTTCCTCTTAGCACTGCTTTCATCATGTTCCATAGGTTTGAGTATGTTGTCTCTTTATTTTCATTAAATTCAAGGAAGACCTTAATTTCTTTCTTAATTTCTTACTTGACCCAGATGTGGGTCAGTAGTTGACTGTTCAGTTTCCATGAGTTTGTCAGCTTTCTGTGGGTAGTATTGTTGTTGCCTTCTAACTTTAATCCGTGGTGATCAGATAAGACACAGGTGGACACTGATTTTTTTTTGTGTCTGTGGAGGTTTCCTTTGTTTCCGAGTATGTGGTCAATTTTTGAGAAGGTTCCATGAGCTTCAGAGAAGAAGGTATATTCTTTCCTATTTGGGTAGAGTGTTCTATAGATGTCTGTTAAGTCCATTTGCTTCATTACCTCCAATAATTCTCTTAATTCTCTATTAGGTTTCTGTCTGATTGACCTGTCCCTTGGAGAGAGAGGTGTGTTGAAGTCTCCTACTACTAGTGTGTGTGGTTTGATGTCTGCCTTGAGTTCTAGTAATATTTCTTTTACATAAGTGGGTGCTTTTATATTAGGGGCGTAGATATTCAGGATTGACACGTCATCCTGATGAATTGTTCCTGTTATGAGTATAAAGTGTCCATCTCGATCTCTTCTGATTGATTTTAGTTTGAAGTCAGTTTTGTTAGAAATTAGTATGGCCACACCTGCTATTTTCTTAGGACCATTTGCTTGAAAAACCTTTTCCCAACCCTTTACTCTGAGTAGATGCCTGTCTTTGTGGTTGAGATGTGTTTCTTGCAAACAGCAGAATGTTGGATCCTGTTTTCGTATCCAATCTCTTAGCCTGTGCCTTTTTATAGGTGAATTGAGCCCATTAATATTAAGTGATATTAATGACCAGTGGTTGTTTACTCCTGTTATTCTTATTGTTTTTGGTAGTAGAGTATGTTTGTCTCCCTTCTTTGAGATGTGCTGGTGAAGGGTCGCTAGATGCCTGAGTTATTGTAGGCAGTGTTGGCAATGTTGGATTCCTTGGGTTGCGATTTTCCTTCTATTACTTTCTGTAGGGCTCGATTTGTGGCTACGTATTGTTTAAATTTGTTCTTATCCTGGAATGTCTTGTTTTCTCCATTGATAGTGAATGATAGCTTGGCTGGGTATAGTAGTTTGGGTTTGCATCCATGGTCTCTTAGGTTCTGCAGTACGTCTATCCAGAACCTTCTTGCTTTCATGGTTTCCATAGAGAAGTCAGGTGTAAGTCTGATCGGTTTACTATATAAGTTACTTGCCCTTTTTCCTTTGCAGCTCTCAATATTTTTTCTTTAACCTGTATATTTTGTGTTTTGATTATTATATGGTGAGGAGATGTTTTTCTTTGATTCAGTCTGTTTGGTGTTCTGTATGCTTCTTGTATATTTAAATGAATATCTTTCTTTATGTTAGGAAAGTTTTCTTCCATAATTTTGTTAAAAATATTTTCTGGGCCTTTGAGCTGTGACTCTTCTCCTTCTTCTATTCCTATTATTCTTAGGTTTGGTCTTTTTTATTGTGTCCCATATTTCTTGAATGTTTTGTGTTGAGAACTTGTTGGCTTTGCTGTTTTCTTTGATCTGTGCGTTTATTTTCTCTATGGTGTCCTCAGAATCTGAGATTCTTTCTTCTTTTTCTTGTATTCTATTGATTATGCTTGTTTCTGTAGACTCTGCTCGTTTACCTAGATTTTCCATATCCAGCTGGTCCTCAGTTTGTGTTTTCTTCCTTGCCTTCATTTCAGTTTTCAATTCTTGAACTGTTTCCATTACCTGTTTGATCTTTTTTTTCTTGGTTTCCCATGGTATCATGTATGTATTTACTCATTTCTTCAAACTTTTTGTTATACTTCTCATCCATTTCTATAAGGGCGTTTTTTACATGTTGTTTAAGGGACTCTATCGCTTTCATAAAGTCAATTTTTCCACTTCTTCTTTGTTAGGGTGTTCAAATACTTCTGTTGTAAGATCATTGGGTTCTCGGGTTTTCATGTTGTTTTTCATATTATTGGGTGAATTCTTGCCTTGATGCCTGCCCATCTCCTCCTATTGATCCTATTTAATGGTTCTTTTAAAACCGGATCAGGTTTCCCTGCTGGCCAAGGGATCCGCTTACAAAATGCCCTCGCTCTGTTTCCTGGTTCCTGCCACAGGCCAAGAACCCTCTCACCCCTCCGAAGGGTCTTCAGGAACAGGACCAGGCTCCCTGTTTGCCAGTGACCTCACCAACAAAAGGCCTACCTCTTTGATTTAATTGTAGTGGGGCTATCTGCTCTCGTTATTGTGCGCCCGTCCTGCCGCTTGCCTCTGCCGCCTCGCTGGTCCTCCAAAGCCTATTCCTGGTTGCCGAGCCTCTCCACCGCATCTGCGCTGTCCAAGTATTGGAATTCTATAACCAAGAATTTGCAGCCAACATTAAGAGTTGAGATTCTGGATTGACAAGATGGCTGAGAGGGTGAACGGGCTTTCCTTCAAGCCCGAGGCCCTGAGTTTGATCCCTGTAGAAGATGAGAACCAGCTCCTATGAGCTGTGTGTCGATTGAAAGAACCACCAAGTGACATGTTTTAGGAGATTGTGAGAACCCCACAGAGACCCGATATAATGAAAATCAGGGCCCATGAGGTGACTCCATGGTTAAAAGAGCTTTTGGAACAGTCTGATGAACTGCGTTCAATCAGAAACCATGTAAAGGCGAGTAGAGAGCAGGGCGTGGTGGTGCACACCTTTAATTCCAGCACTCGGGAGACAGAGGTGGGCAATCTCTGTGAGTTCTAGGCCAGCTTGGTCTACAGAGCAAGTTCTAGGGCAGCCAAAGATGCACAGAGAAACCCTGTCTCGAAAAACACCCCCCAAAAAGGGTGAGGGGAGAAAACGGACTCCACAAAGCTGTCCTGTGGCCTCCCCACGTGCACACACCAGTGTAGTCGTCACGCACACCCGTACGATAATAAAATGCATTGTCTTAGCTCCTGTCCTATTGCTGTCTTGTGACACCATGACCAAGACAACTTATTAAAAAAAAACCACTTAATTGGTTGGTTTTCTTATAGTTCCAGAGTTTCAGAGTGTGAGTTCATGACCATCATAGAGGGGAGAGCAGTGGCAGGCGGGTGGCATGATATTGGAACAATAGCTGAAAAGTTACATCTGATCCACAGGCACAAGGAGGGAGCGAGGGAGGGAGGGAGGGGAGCGCGAGCACTAGCAGGGAATGGTGTGGGCTTTTTAAACCGCCAAGTCCACCCATAATGACGTGCCTCCTCTAACAAGGCCACGCCCTCTAACCCTTCCCAGTTCCAGGAACTGCAGAACCGAGAATCCAAACACTGGAGCCTAGGGGGCCATTCTCACTCAGGCCACCACTCAGTCTTAAAAATATAAAGACTATTGAAGTGGGGGCAGGAAAGCTGTCTTCGCAGGTAAAAGTGCCTACTGCCAAACCTGATGACCGGAGGTTGATCGCCAAGATCCATATGCGAGGCAGAGAGGACTCTGGAAGGAATCCTCTAGCCTCCACACTTGCCTACGTGGAGTTAGCCAACCCAGGCAAGGTGGTGAGATCCGGGTTCAGTGAGACTCTGCCTCAAAGAAAAAGAAAGAAAGAAAAAAAAGAAAAGGTAGAAAAAAAATAAGGTGGAGCAGGGTTGATGAAGACCCTGATGTGAACCTCTCGGCTTCACATGTATGTGTGTGCATGAATGTCTAAAACACATACATACACACAGAGAACATACACAGGGAAAAGTGAGACAGTAAGATCACATGCCTGGGACCCGTGTATTTGCGAGGTGGAGGCAGGAGGATTGAGAGGACATTCTTAGCCTCATATTGAGTTGGAAGCCAGCCTGAGTCCATGGCATCCTGTTTCAAAAACCAAATCAAATTAAACAAACAGCCAAAACAACTAAAAGAGGGACTTTGGTGAAGTTCCCACAGAGCGGACAGGGTTCCCTGAGTGAGGTTCCCACAGAGCGGACGGGGTTCCCTGAGTGACTTTTTCCAGTGCACTGGTTGGGTGCTGGACGGGTTACGTGGTGATGCCTAGGTGTGAGGAGAGCTCAAAGCGCAGAGAGCTTGTCTGGGAGCCGAGTGATGGCCACAACATCCTGTGTAACAACAACAAAAAATCCAACCCAGGAGATACACAGAGGAGGGACACCAGTTTGGAGTGCCAGAGGGCCAGGGATTTCTGGGTGTCATCAGTTTTTCTCGCCCCTTTTCTTTAGTGATGTCTCCCCCGGCCAGCACCACAGCCAGGGTCCATGTGAAGAACGGCGGATGGAACTTTTTGAAGTGCGCCTACATGGTGATGACCTTCCTCTTCGTGTCCTACAATAAAGGAGACTGGGTAAGGAGGCTGTGTCTGGATGGACGCCTTTCAGTCTATGGAGGGTGGAGGGCGAAAGGAAGGAGGGGCAGGGAAGAAAGGATGAGGAGAGAAGGCACTGTGGGAGAAGGGAGTCTACACAGTGTAGCGAACTGCCTTGTCAGGTTATCTTTGTGGGACCACCAGCTCCCCAGTAACGACAGGAGACTTTATATCAATTATGAAAGCTTGGCCTTAGCTTAGTCTCGTCTCCAGCACCCCGGCCGCCTCACTAGCTTATTCCCAGAAATAACAACACACAAACTGTATTCATTTAAACACTGCTTGGCCCATTTCTATCTAGCCTCTTCTAGGCTAATTCTCACATATTAATTTAGCCCATTTCTAATCATCTGTGTAGCACCGGTCTTACGGGGAAGATTCTAGCCTACGCCCATCCTGGGTCGGAGCTTCATCGTGTGCGTCTGCCCAGGAGAAGGAAGCATGGTGTCTCTGCTCCAGAGAGCAGAGCTGTCGAGTCTGAGCTCTCTTCCTCTTCCTCCCAGCATTCTGTTCTGTTTACTCCTCCCACCTATGTTTTAACCTATCAGGGCCAAGCAGTTTCTCTATTGCTTAACCAATGAAATCAGCAGATTGATATATGACACTCCCACATCAGTTCTTACAACTTCAATGAACCTGTCTCTTTTAATCTGCATTTTGCCATGTGGTCCGGTTACCTCTGTTCTGTACCACACGTCTGACTTCTTCAGGGCTTCTGGTAAAATCCGCGCACCTAGATTTCTTCTCCTTCTCCTTCTCCTCTAAAACTAGTATGCCTTCCCCAACAGAACCACTCTGCCCACCTAGACATTAATAAGGAAAATTAATCTGAATAATTGCAATTCTCGGCAATTGTACAATTGCAAATGTACCGGCTCTGGCTAACACTCAGAGAGTTGCCAGCCATGAATACAAGATTTTACTAACTTATATACACCTTAGGCATCTGCATTGTACCAGCCCAGGTTACAGTTTGAACCATTTTAAAAGACAGGAGACTGCAAGTCTAACCACTTGGGCAGATGGGAGATTTACACAGCCTGGTCTTCCAGAATTATCTACGTATATTAGTATTGATTTCTAAAGTTGTCACCCAGGATCGTCTTGCCCATCTGGCAGAATTATGTTTTTACTGATAAGAGCACCAGGAACTTAATGACAGACCAAGACTTAATGGCTGTAGGTTTTGACCCTGCGCTGCCCCCAGAGCTGTCCCTAAGAGACACATTCTTTGATGGGGACTGGTTGTAAGCCTGGGTTTCTTCATTTGTTATGGAAATGAACCTAGTTGGAGGTCAATCAGTGAATAAACCTTAGCAGAACTCCCTCAAGGACCCCAAACTTTAATTAAGGTACCAGGTTTTCATTCTGTCCCAGCCTGGTGAGCACCCCACTCATCCCCAGCCACACTGGTGAGCACCCCACTCATCCCCAGCCACAATGGAGGTGGTACTCGTCACCCACGTAGTGTGACCCAATGTGCCCTAAGCCGGTCCAGCGTGAGGTTTACTCTCCCAGGTGTCTGCGTCATTGCTACCTTCAGTCTCAGACTGAACTCCGATGGTCAGCGAGCCACAAGCTGCTTCTCTCATTGAGCCACCCCTCCCTAGCTCCCTAGCTGGGACAAGAACCCTGCCACTAGGATCTGCTTTCTTTGAAATGTGAAATGCCAACTGTGTTCTCTGTTCTCTCCCTCTCTCTCTCTCTCTCTCTCTCCCTCCCTCCCTCCCTCCCTCCCTCTCTTCCTCCCTCCCTCCCCCCCCATTAGGGAGTTTTTTTTTAATTTTTAATTATTATTCTCTCATATTACATCCTGACTGCAGTTTCCCCTCCCTCTGCTCCCCGTGCACCCCCCTTCCCCAAATCCACTACTCCTCCATTTCCCTTCAGAAAAGAGCAGACCTTCCAGGAATATCAATTGAAAATAGCATATCACGTTGCAATAAGACTATGAACATACCCTCATGTCAACGCTGGACAAGGCAACCCAGTAGGAGGAAAAGGGTTCTGAGAGTGGAGAAAGAGTCAGAGGCAGCCCTCACTCCCATTGTTAGGAGTTCCACAAGAACTCCAAGGTACACAACCATAATGTGTGGCAAAGGACCTAGCGCAGATCTATGTGAGGTCAATGATTCAGTCTCTGTGAGCCCTGCTTAGTCAGTTCTGTGAGCTGTGTTCTAATTGTGTCCTTGACCCTCTGGCTTCTACAATCCTTCCTCCCCCTTTTCTTAGGAGTTCCCATGAGCTCCATCTAATGTTTGGCTATGGGCTCCACATCTATTCCCGTCAGTTGCCTCTCTGATGACAATTGGGCTAGTCACCGATCTCCGAGCATCACAGAATATCATCAGAAATCATTTCATTGACTTTTTTTTGCCAGTTGTGTTTGGTTCTATCCTAGGTCTCTGTGCTATCCAGCCTCCAGTTCCTTTTAGTGTGGAGCATAGGCTTCCTGTCCTGGTGTGGGCCCCAAGTTAGACCAGTTATTGGTTGGCCGCTCCCACAAGTTCTGGGCTGCCATTGCCCCAGCACGTCTCCCAGGCGGGATAGACTGGGTTGACTGGTGGTTTTGTGGCTGGGTTGTTGTTACAGACTCAGGAGATTCTTAAGGACTAGGTCTTTTGCTGTTTCTGGAGATGCTGCTGGATAAGACACCTCATGCATCTCTGCCCATTGAGCTGTCCCATTGACTCCTGTTTGTCTGTCTTGCTGACTCCTGTTTGTGCGTTTGAAACAGGGTCTCTGATGTAGGCCAGGATGACCTTGCACTCATGATCTTCCTAAGTGCTGGCACATCTCGTTTAAGGGGTGAGAAGTATTTGGTCCCTGGTTATTGGGTGTCTCCGCTGAAGTAATAAGCCAAATCAAACTGAATTAATTAATCCAGATTTAATAAACAGAACAAAGGAAAGCAGGGCACTCCCTGGTGGCTCTCGGGAAGTCAGGAGAGAGAGCACTTGGTGGGTATCTATGGGCCGGGTTTTAAGTAGCCTGTAGGAGTCTTGAGCATCTCAGGAGGAGGAGCCACTGACGGTGGGATTTCTCAGGGTCAGGGTCTGGAATGGGAGGAGGAGTGCTTGGGATCAACCTAGGGCTCATCCCTGCTAGGCAAGCACCCTGACAGGTAGGTCACATCCCGGTCAGTGGGAGTTGTGCAATGAAGCCACTGGGCACTGAGCGTGGAGCAGATTTAGAGCAGGACACAGGGGGAAGCAGAGAGACCTGCCCATGGTCAGGACAGGGGCCTGTGGTAGTGAACACAAGGAAAATCCGCTAGATCAGCTAGAGCAGTGGTCCCCAATCTTCTGATGCTGCACCCCTTTAATACAGCTCTTCATGTTGTGGTGACCTCAACAATAAACTATTTTTGTTACTACTTCATAACTGTAATTTTGCTACTGTTATGAATCGTAATATAAATATCAGTGTTTTTTTTGATGGTCTCAGGAGACCCCCTGGGAAAGAGTCTGGGATCGTGTCCCACAGGTTGAGAACCACTAGGCTACACTTCTATCAGGAATGCAGCTCGTGGATTGGGCTTGAGGGCTGAGGGAAATGGGGAGACCCAGGAGATGATCAGAGAGCCCTGGTTCTCACAAAGGTGACTTGGTCTTCCAGAAGATTCTGCACAGTATCTGGAGATGGTTTTTCTTTTTATGGCCCCCACTGAAGCATGGAATTTAGTGAGAGGCCAGGGACAGCTCTCAGCCTTTCAGCACTGCTTGCCCTGAAAGTGACCGGATCAAAGGTCATCAGTGCCAGTGCCGGAAACACTAGGTGGGGAGGTGGCAGGGCTGATGAAAAGTGAACAGGCTGGAAGATGGGGCCGAGCTCAGGAGCACAGAGAGGCTGACCAGTCACCAGTACCACAGGAGGGAGGGAAGGAAGTTGGTTGGCTGACTTCTGTTTAGTTTTTGATTTTGTCTTTCTCTGTTCCATGTTCTGTCATTCATCCTTGTTGTCCCCAGTGTTACTGTCACTACTGCAACCCGCAGCTGAATCTGAGGTATGGCTTCACATCTTGTCTACGGGTCCTGGAACTCACTGTCAGGCTGACCTCCAACTCACAGAGATCCACTTGCCTTTGCCTGGGATTAAAGGCCTGTGCCACCACCTCCTGGCTTACATTTTGCTATTGAAAGAGATGGGTATCAGCTCAGGATCCTCAAGGCCAAGTTCTCTGCACAAAAGGGACTTATTTCCCTAGAGACACAAAGGAGAGGGATAAGAGAAAAGCACAGGAGATAAAGGAAGAGGAAGAAGGGGAAGGAAACAAGGGAACAGGGCAGCTATTTGTTCCAAAGAAGGATAAAGGACTGTCTGGATAATGAGGAGACAGATGTGGCTCATAGGAAAATGGCGGTTTATAAAAGATGAAACCCCGTGTGTCTTAGTTAGGGTTTCTATTGCTGTGAAGAGACACCAAGACCATGGCAACTCTTACATTTAAAAAACATCTAATTGGGGTGGCTTACATTTTCAGAGGCTTAGTTCATTATCCTCATGGTGCAACATGGTGGCATGCAGGCAGACGTGGTTCTGGAGAAGTGACCAAGTGTCTTACGGTGGTGTGCAGGCAGACGTGGTGCTGGAGAAGTGACCAAGTGTCTTACATCTTGACTGCAGGCAACAGGAAGTGGTCTGAGGCACTGAGAGCAGCTTGAGCAGATATGAGACCTCAAACCCCACCTCCATGGTGACACTTCCTCCAGTAAGACCACACCTACTCCAACCAAGGCCACACCCTCCCCAACAAAGCCGTTTTCTTTCAAACCACCACACCATATTAGGACGAGGTGTTTAACTTTAATTGGCCATGTTAATTAGGTGAGCCAAAGAGGACTTTTGATTGATGGACTTAATACTTTGCCAGCTGGACCTTGGCAGTGAGCCCCAGGAGGGTGTAATCTAATGGTGTTTAGCAAGGCAGAGGGAAGGGGACAAAGGGCAAGGCCTGCCAGAGCCACATGCTCCAGCAGGCTAGTGTCCTTTCAGTTATTATTTGCATGTATACCCGTGCTACGGCACACACGTGGAGGTCAGGGGTCAGCTTGTTGGAGTCAGTTCTCTCCTTCTACCCCTTGAGTCCCTAGGATGGGACTTAGTTTTCAGTCCTGGCAGCCAAGTGGCTTTACCTGCTGAGTCATCTCCCTAGGTCAAGGAGGTTTTATGTATGTTTAATGTATGTTTGTGTATGTATGTATGTATGTATGTATATATGTAGGTATGTATGTATTTATGGTTTTTTTTTTTGGACAGGGTTTCTCTGTGTAGCTTTGGAGCCTGTCTTGGAACTTGCTCTGTAGACCAGGCTGGCCTCGAACTCACAGAGATCTGCCCGCCTCTGCCTCCCTAGTGTTGGGATTACAGGCCTGCGCCACTACGGCCCAGCTAAGGAGGTTGCTTTTAAATAGCTCGTGTCCAAGGTAGGGTTTGTGAGCTGCAGTCAGAGTCACAGAATTGCATGGAAGGTTCCAAGTTCATTCTCCTTTAGTGTGGGAGGAATGGCATGTGTGTGTTCCCCTCTGCTGCACAATGAATAAAATTCAATGCCATTCTAAGTGGGGTTTCTGTTTTGCTGTTGAAGAAGGGAGCTAGGTGGATAGTTCAGAGGTTAAGAACATGCGTTACTCCTGCCGAGGATCAAAATTAACTTCCCAGCACACACACTGTGGAACTCAGACTCGCTGTAATTCCAGCCACCGGGCTCAGACGTCCATTTCTGGCCTGCAAGGGCACTGCATTCTCCTGGACATACCCACTCACCCATAGACACACATATGAATAATTCAGAATCAGATAGGGTCCAGAGAGATGGCTCAGCAGTCACGACCTCTTGCTGCTCTAGCAGAGGACTCAGGTCTGGCTCCCAGCACCCCGTGGTAACTCACATCAGTTACAGACCTGACACCCTCTCCCAGCCTCTGTGCACACTGCACTTACACACCGGCAAAGACACACAGAAAATAAAAGTAAATCTTTAAAAATATTTTTTAAAAATACAGGCTGTGATGGGACATGCTTTTAATCCTAGCCCTAGGGAGGCAAACAGAGGGATTTCTGAGTTTGAGGCCAGCCTCATGTATAAAGCTAGTTTCAGGACAGCCAGGGTTATACAGAGAAACCCTGTCTTGAAAAGACAAAACAAATCAAAAAAAAAAAAAAAAAAAAGACAAAGAAACCTCCTTCCTAAGTAGAGCCACTCCTGCTAACTAGGAGCCAGGTCCCTAGGTCTGAGGGAAGTGGCTTTAGCAGGTGGAATAGGCTGGGGGCGGAGAAACAAAGTGGGCGGACCTTAGCCCAAAGAAGCATGGTCCAGGGTGGAGGGGAGAGGTGCAAACTCAGGGGCTGCACATAGAGCCCTAGGGGGAGGTAAGGGTGCTATGAGGCCAGGAGCCTGATAACATGTGAAGATGTAAATACGTGTCCAACTGTGTTTCTCCTGTCTTCCCTCTTGCTCAGAGACGACCCCTGCTGCTCTTTCTAGTGAACCTGCTCCATCTGACTCCTCCTTCACTAGCCCTCCAGCTCCCAGGCGTCAGAGGGCCGTGCCATGAGATGAGGGCCATGGGAGCGGAATGAGCCTCTGCAGGGCTTTCGCCCACACCTTCTCCTCGGGACCATTTTCAGCCTTTCTTTCCTGTTCCTCTAATGAAATTGCACTTGTGTAATGGCTAAGGGTTTCTTTCTTCTGCTCACACAACACAGCAAATGAACACAGGGTGGAGGGCCGCTAAGAATCATCTATAATTTTTAAATAAAAAATTTGTTACCTCCTGAGTCAGTGTGTGTGCATGCATTGCTGGCATCAGTTTACAACAGCTAACATCTTTATCCATCGAGCAGTCTTGCTGGCTCTCAGATAGAGCAGAAAGGCCTATGTTTGTATTCTCTTGCTTTCAGGTGTTGGGCAAAGCCCAGTGCATTTTCAAACTCTCTGACACTGGGCTTCCAAACCCCGATTTCCCCCGTATATGATTGCTCTGATGGGACGCCCATATTTTCTGGTAACACCTATTTCCTGTCTCCCCTTTTTTCTAATTTTATGTGCATTAGTGTTTTGCCTGCATGAATGTCTGTGTGAGAGTGTTGGCTCCCCTGGAATTGGAGTTACAAACAGTTGTGAGCTTCCATGTGGGTGCTGGGAATTGAACCTGGTCCTCTGCAAGAGCAGCCAGTGCTCTTAACCACTGGACCATCTCTCTAGTTCCCCCTTTTTTGTTTTTGTTTTGTTTTTTGAGACAGGACTTTTCTGTGCAGCCTTGTCTGTCCTTGGAACTCACCCTGTAGACCAGGCTCAGAGGTTAGCCTGCCTCTACCTTCCAAGTGCTGGGATTAAGGGTGTGCACCACCTTTATTTCCTATCTTTTAATTCTTTAATTGGCAGGGAAAATGAACCCATTTCTGCACAGTATCAAGACAGTATCCTAGACAGTATTGAGATAGATGCAGGAGAACCAGGAGTCTAGGGCCATTCTTGACTACAGAGTGAGTTCCAGGCCAGCCTGGAAACATGGGAATTTGTCTAAAACAAAAACAAGCAGATGGAGAGACGCTTCAACAGTTAAGAGCACTGGCTGCTCTCACAAAAGACTGGGTTCAGTTCCCAACACCCACATGGAAGTTCACAACTATCCATAACTCTAGTTACAGAAGATCTGTCGCCGTCTTCTGGCCTCTGCTGGTAAACATGTGGTGTACTTAACATTTGTGAAGGCAAAACACTTACACATATAACATAAAAATAAAATCTTGGGGAAAAAAGCAGCCTGGTGGTGGCACATGCCTTTAATCACAGCACTCGGGATGCAGAGGTAGGAGAAACTCTGAGTTCAAGGGCAGCCTGGTCTACAGAGCGAGTTTAACAGGGCTACACAGAGAAACCAAAACAAAAACCAAAAAACAAAAAGTAAGGTTCAAGGCTGTAGGCGGTATCCTGTTTTTACTCACTACTGTATCCTTGGCAACCACACTAACTGAACGCTTAATAAGTGTGCAGCGCTTGTTAAGTTACAAGTTAGACCAGAACGGATGCTCCATAGAGCCTTCAACGACCCAGTTTGCCTCAAGAGTATGGTTTCCTGTCAGATTTAGAGGAGGAAAAACGTGAGTGCACCGTTTGGTGCGCTCCGCTCGCTTACTATAAGCAGTTAGCCAGGCACAACGTGAAGGCTTGCGCATACATTACTGTTGCACAAATAGCACCCCCACTCCCACCACCCAGTCTCTAGGAAGGCCATGAGAATTCTAGAAGGAGTCAGCCTCTCTGGCCGGACTTGGGAGCCTGGGCAGGGGAAGCAGCCAAGGTCCAGGACCTGCTGTGCTCACATTTGTCGCGAGGCGGCACTGTCTCACGACTTCCGGCTCCAGCCCGCCACAGGCTGCAGAACTACAATTCCCACAAACCTGCGCCCCGACCCGTTTCTTCTCCTCTTTCGTTCCTAACAAATCATACCTCAAGGATATCTGGAAAGTATTTTCAATCTCCCAAATCATTCTTGACGCCGCGCTTCTGAGCCGCACCTCATCGTTTTTTTTTTTTTTTTTGCTGACGGTCACACCTCCCGCCTCTCTGCTTCTTTGAAACTACAATACCCAGAAGTCGCTGGGCCACGCCAAGCCTACAAGATGGGTTGCCTTGGAAACAGAAATGCCAGCTCTAGGGTTGGGAGTTGCGAAAGCAGTATTGCGATTGGTGGGGAGGTCTGTTTGCTTACTTCCTCTTTGGTCCCCCCCTCCCCCCGACCCCTTTCAAGTTTCTTATTTCTTTCCTCCGTTCTTCACTTTATTTTTTTCCTGTATAATAGTTCAAAGTCTCTGTTTGGTATTTTTTCATACAATTTTATTTTTCATGGTGTTACTCTTTTCCCCGCCTCCTACGTTCTCCTCAAACCCCTTCCCAAACCTCGTATCCTTGCATACTCAGTAGGCAAAAGGGCACATTTCAGAGTGCGGCAAGCGCATCGAGACGTGTGGTCTCCTCATGTCTTTTTAGGGTAATCCTTGGGTCTTCAAGTCTGGGCCAGCTGCACTGGGCAGTGTCATATAAGTTACAGGTATGAGACAGGAGAGGCTAGTCTGGACACGGGAGGCACGTTAGGTCTGTTCCTCAGGTCCCAAGAGGTCTCCTGGGTGTTAGGTTCCAAACTCGGGACACGCGGCGAGGTGACTACTTAGCATATCAGAACAGACCTGGCCGCCAGGTTCCCCCAGCGTTCCTCAGTCTCTACCTGTATCAGGGTCCTCTTGGCGGGTACAGCCTATGCTCTTCCATAAACTTCTCCAGCCCAGGGGCTGGGCTGCCCTTCTCCCAGCTAACCTTCCCTATAGAATCCAACCATTTTGATTGCTTCGTCCCCTCCCCCTTCTCCCACAGCTCAGGGTCATTTTCTCCCTGGCCTCTCCCAGATGTCCCTGCCTCTGCCTCCCTTTTATCTACACAAACTTTCACCCCCACCACACCAGGAGCAGTCAGTCATGCCCTTTCCTTTTTCTTTTTTCTTTTTTTTTTCTTTTTTTAGATTTTTTTTTTTTTTTTTTTTTTTTTTTTTTGGTTTTTCGAGACAGGGTTTCTCTGTGGTTTTGGAGCCTGTCCTGGAACTAGCTCTTGTAGACCAGGCTGGTCTTGAACTCACAGAGATCCGCCTGCCTCTGCCTCCCGAGTGCTGGGATTAAAGGCGTGCGCCACCACCGCCCGGCGCCCTTTCCTTTTTCGTTCTTTTTCTTTTTCCGTTCACTGGGAAGTGAATGCAACCTTTAGTCTGCCTACTTTCTAATCTCCCAGATAATGGCCCGCCTCACTCGTTGGATAGATGGAACTTAGAAGGGGATGTGAGACTCTGAGCCGCACCTCTTCTTTGGGGCTCCCACCCTGTACCCCCATTCTTGGATTTCCTCTTTGGAGAAATGCTGTGTAGAACTTAAGTGCCCCCCCCCCCGCACCCGCCCAGTATCCAGTTCAGGGTTCTCAGGTGAGGGACGTGGTGCTTGAACCTGTTTTCCCGTCTGTGAAATGAAATCACAGTATTCGAGAACGGTATTCCTCACAGTGACCGTTCAGATGTCGCGGCTGATGCTCACCGCTGTCGGTCTTGACACTTCCTTTCCTCTGGGCACTTGGTGTGTTCACGCGAAGTGTGGATGTGTTGAACCGTGCGGCTGCTACACTTTCTCCTGTGCGAACACCAATGGCTGTGTTCTCGCTAAGGGATGCTATAGGGTCTGGTGTCGGGTCTGTCCAGTCACTGAGCCAAGAGTGTCCTCAAGGATCACCTAGGTGAGGTGTGAGGTGACTCCGGAAGTGCCTTGGGTGGGAGTTATGATTTGATAAGAGAGAACCAGAAATGACTAGGGTTTCTCAAGAAGATTAGGACGAGCTTTCCCCTTTAAGTGGGATTTCTACGGAAATTCCTAAAAATCTCAGGTCCGCAGTTTGGGAGGGAGTAAGGCCTTGAGCAATGGTCAGCTGTGCGGGAGTTCCCGCGCTCGGCTAGGAGAAGCTTCAACCGGACTCCAGGGCGGGACGCTCTTCCTTCTCCGCGTCCACCACCGTCCCCCGCTCCACGCCCCGGGTCACTAGGTCTCCAGACAGGCGGGCACGGAGACGGAAACGCCCCTCCCTCAGGGGCTGGGCATGTCACGCCGGAGGCTGGCCGGTGCGAGCTCGCGACTGCGCGCGGCGTGATACGCGTGGGGACCCACTGCGCCCTAGGTGTGGGGCGCTGCGAGGAGAAGCACCCGGGATGGACGCACCCCACAGGGTCGCGACCCGGAGCCCGGCGGGAACGCGCACGCGCGTCCGCGGATGACCGCGTCTCTCCCCGCGCCCGCAGTGCAAATTTGTGAGGGGTGTGGCCTCGCTCTGTCTCCCGGGCTCCGATTGCAGGAGCGTCAGGGGGCGTAGCTCCGCGCTCCCGGGGTAGCCCCCGGGGGCGGGGCCACACTCCTCTACGTGTTGCTCGCCGGAAGGAGGGAGGGACAGCCCTGGAGGGGGACCCCTGCGGGTCCGGGCGGCGAGTGCGCAGGCGCGGGGGCTCAGTCGCTGGCAGTTCTGTCGCAGCTGTGAGGCTGAGGACAGCTGGGAGGCAGGTGAGGGACTGGCTGACCGCGAGCGAGGTTTCCGTGGAAATGATTGCTGACGTGTGTGTGTGTGTGTGTGTGTGCGTGTGCGCGCGGCCGGTCTGCGTGGGTCGATCACTCTTGAACTCCTCTCGTGATCCGAGGTGATTCGGTGCACTCCTAAAGCCCCGTGTACGGTTGGCATGGCCCGTGGGGTGGACCCGGTGTGAGGATCCGTCAGGTGATTCCACGTGTGTTTATGTGTTTGTGTGTGTGTGTGTGTTTGTGTGTGAGAGAGGCGGGGAGGGAGGAGGGAGGGAGGGAAGGGTTGGGGAGAAGAGAAATGGAGACTGAGTAGGCCTGTGGGCCTCAAGAAGCAGGTGCGTGTGCCAACTGCGTAATCTGTGGCGTGCGAAAAGGATTTGGGAGCACAGTTGTGAACATCTCCGTTGTACCCGTGAGCGAGTGTGACAGACCGATGGGGCTGTTTGTCACAGTCTGGGGGTGCACGGTCTGTGAGGCCCAGGAACAGGTGCCTGATTTGTGGCGTCGTGGTGAGAAAAGGAAGCCCCCCCCGCAGGCTGGAGGGGCCGTGGGCACACAATTCTGAGTGTCTCTGTTGTCGCTAGCAGTGCATGTGCGAGAGTGTGTGTGTGGGGGGGGAGGGAGGGAGGGAGAGAGAGAGAGAGAGAGAGAGAGAGAGAGAGAGAGAGGAAGCTGTTGATCACAGTCTAGAGATACTGCGCACCACCAGATGTCTGAGGCTTTGTTGAATGTGTGCCAATGTGTGATTGATTGTGCCTTATCTCATTTGTTACTGTGGCAACGGGCTCCTCTAGAGCAGGAGATGTGATGGCTACTCTGGGAAACTGAACCTGTTAAGGATGAGACTTGGTTCTGTACAACAGCCCGTCAAAGTGTTGATGGGAGGCTAAAGGAATAACAAATGAAAGGCCCGGAGTGCAGCCTGGGACATAGTGAGTGCGGTGTAGGTAGGGTCTGGCCTTTGTTGTAGTTCTGGGAGTGCGGGTTTTGTGCTTGCTGTTGACCTGTGTCCAGGTAGGATTGTGTGGAATCCGAGAAGAATTTGTGTCTGCTTTGGAATTTGGCCATCTTCCACCTCCAGCAGATGTTCTGGTCTCTCTGATTGGAGCACTGGTGCATCCCCCACCCCTTCTACCCCTAGGCAAGCATTTGCCTTCTTGGTGTCTGCCCAAGTATGGTTCTGAAGCCTACCCTGACCTGCGGAACCTGTTGTGTGTCTTCCTAATCAGGGTATCTGGAGGGAGATAAATGGAGGTGGTGGGGGTAGGCGCAGAGGGCCTGGGGCCAGCCACCTTTATCCAGTAGCACATTGGGTGGACAGTCACAGAACCCTTTTGGAGTGACCTTGTTGAGTCTCCTCAGGCATCATCAACAAACCCCTCATTTCATCCCAGCCATGTTTTTTCAGCATTGATCACTGACAGAAGAAGCAACCATTCATTGGGTCTATAACCTGAAAGGAAAGAACAGAAGATAATGTTGCTGCTGTAACAAATTGCCCTCAGGTTTAATGGTTTCAAAGCTTTATGCATACTCAGTATTTATTAATCTTTTAAATAATCAAACCAGTAATTATTACTATTACTCCTTAACTACTGCCTGTCCCACAAAGAGAGAAGCATAATAAATCTAGCTTCCTGAGAAGATGGCTTCCCATAAATAGTATAGATCATCTTGAAATTCTTGTTTAGCATCAAAACTTAGCCAAGCCTAGCTTTCGTTCCACTTACCTCCCTTCACCGTTTGTAGAGGGAAGTGTTCATGCTTCCAGTTTCAGCTCCTTCTGTGTCTTCCATAGACACATCACAGAAAGAGTGTTGCAAAAACAAACAAATAAAGATCTGCACAGATCTGCTCTTAATAGCACCAGGTGTGAGGATGGCATTCTTTGAGGGTGTTTAGGGGTAAACTGTCATCAGACCTAAACTTATTTTTAAGTGACTCCATTTTTTTTTAAGGATGTGGGACACGTTACTATTCAGTAAAGAGTTAGACTATTTTCTTTTTCTCCAGATCTCCTGCTTTCCCAGTAGGGGATTAGTTTGTCCCTGTTTCTGCTCTCTTGGAAGGCACACGTTTTAGAGGCTGTGGGATGAGGGAGTGCTCGCCCTGCTGTCTCTTTACAGTGTCCTGTCAGCACAGGGAGATGGAATCCCACTTCTGTCAGCACACACAAGCATATTCAGGATGGATTAGTGGTCAGTCCACAGGTGTGGAGTCTCTGCTCTTGTTTTTGAGACAGGGTCTCATGAATCCAGGGCTGGCTCCAGCTTGCTGTGTAGCCCAGGAAGTGTTGCCTCTACCTCCCAGTGCTGGGAAGCTGCCACCACACCCAGTTCACGTGGTGCTGGAAACAGTTTTTTTTTTTTTTTTTTTGCATGCTAGGCAAGTCCTCTCCCTCCTGAGCAGCATCCACATCCCAGTCAAGATCCCTGCTCTTGATCCTACACGGAGCATGCACTTGTATGTGGGTTTGTGATTTTAACTAAGTAAACAGTGATCAGCCAGCGCTCTGCTGTGGATAGAGCTTAGTCCTGGAGCGCTTGCCTAGCATGCACAAGGCTCTAGTTTCAGTCTGCAGCACTGCAAAGGAAGTAATTATATAGATGGGGAAATAATAAGAGTTCTGAATAAAAAAGAACAGTGCAATAATGTATCATATGTAATATATGGAGCACTGTCTGAAAACATAAGAGGCATATAAACTTAAATATTCCAGTAGCCACATTCTTAAAAAGACATAAATTTATTATTAATATTAGTTACAACTTGTTTGCCTTAGTGCATCTATAGCAATTTTCATTGTAGATATGTACTAATACATCTAAACCAATTTTCATTGCAGATAAAAATTGTGCTTACATTACTCTGTGCTTACATTTCATAAACCTTGCCTTGGAAAAATGGTTACACCAAGTTAGTGCAAATATACATGTGAGTTTTATTGTAATTAATCCAATACCAGTCTTGCCTTCTCTATGGCTACCAAAGCAGTTTATATGCAATGCTGCCACCTCCAAATTTTGTTACAGAGTCTGGTTAGTCTCTCTGCTCAGCTCCTCTCACCTTTCCCCTAGTAATATCTTATCACAGAAGCCACTCTGCGCCACCTTCACGATCTGGTTCCACCAGCCTTTCTCACCTCACTCTGCCTTAGCACCCGGCCTTCTATCCCTCTAGACATCAAGCCTGTCTAGCACAGTACCTTGGCTCTACCCTGTGCCCTGTGGCTCACATGTTCACATTCAGACCTCAGTTCACTGTTGCCTGCTCGGAGAGGCCTTTCCTGACTACCGCGTCACTTGGTCCCCTATCCTAGTCCTCCTTTCACCCCCCAGGGTATGTATGCGCTGTCACGCCCAGTTTCTGTTACTGCAGCTGTGGAGCCCAAGGCTAAGTGCCTGCTGGTCCATATCTCTCCAGCAGCTGAGCCACCAGCCCCAGCACCTGCTTTTTGTTAGGCAGCTTCTCTGGGTGTAGTAGCTCTGAGTAGGGCAGTGAACAGAAGAGTCAGGATCCCTGCTCTTGACCTAAGTCACTACGTGCCGTGTGGACTTGTTTTCCTTGCCTGAACAAATGGTACACGGGAGCACGTACCTTCCTGCTTTAACTTTCATGGCAGGGCCTGACACCAGCAGCCACCAGTCAGAAGAAGGGCTGGGTGTCTGCATAGTCTTCATCTGTGTCCTGATCAGGAGCCTGCTGTGATTGTAAAGACGGAGTGTTGTGTGATTCCCTCCTTGCCCCTTCCCAATCCTGAGAGCAGGACACACACACACATACATACACATACACAAACCACCACACACATACACAAGCTAAGAGTGGGACACACAAACACACATGCACACACACAAACCACCACACACACATACACACCCTAAGAGGGGGATACACATATACACACAAACCACACACACATGCACACACACAAACCACCATACATACAAATCCTAAGAGGGGGGATACACATACACACAAATGCACACACACAAACCACCACACATACACACCCTAAGAGGGGGATACACATACACACACATGCACACATACAAACCACCACACATACACACCCTAAGAGGGGATACACATATACACACAAACCACACACATACACACCCTAAGAGTGGGACACACACACACTCACGATGGATGGACAGACGGACAGACTTGTTCCCACCTTTGCCTATGGAGAGGGGACTGGGGACTGGGAACTTCGGGTTCACTCCAAAGCCGTTGAGCTTCGTGATCTCTCTTTTCTGCCAGCACTCTGCCTCAGCCTCTGAATGTGGATCATCAAAGTCGGGGGGAAAAGATGCCTGCAGCACGAGGGAAATCAAAGTCCAAGGTGAGTGGTGACCCCTCCCATGTGCTCCAGTCTGTCTATAAGATGTGGCCCATTTGTTTGCTTTCTGGAGATTTCCTGCCTGAGGGAGATGGATGCGGCACCTGGTGGTCCTCCCGTTTCTATGGAGATGGGACCTGAGAAGTAACCAGCACTCAGAAAGCTGCGGTGGGTCCCATTTCCTTTCCTCTGTGTTCACAATAGACCGTTCATGGTCCATTCAGCATCCGCAGGGGCTCTGCAGGACTCAGCGTTGCCCTCCCCAGAAAGAATATGAGAGCTCTGTAGTTTCTTTGGCTGGGGATGAGTACCCAGGTGGGACCCACTCAGCCGAAGGGGTAGGTGCGTATGTGCCAGATTAATCCAGTTGTATCACTTTGTTGTTTCTTGTAAAACCAATACTCACATGGAAGAAGTGTGCCTGGTTAAGGTACAAGAATGAGAAGTATAATTTGGAAACGAGAAAGTGGGGTGCACAAGTCTTTTGACTGACCTGCTTCACCACTGGAGATGACCAGATGAGCGTCACAGCAACTCAAGGGCAGTTTCTATAATTTCCAGCCGGGCAGTGGTGGCGCACGCCTTTAACCCCAGCAGAGTCACATGGATCTCTGTGACTTCAAGGCCAGCCTGGTTTACAGAGTTCCAGGACAGCCAGGGCTACACAGAGAAACCCTGTCTGGGGACGTTGCTCAGATTGCTTGACTAGGATGCATAAACCCTGAGCTCGATCCCCCGCACCCCTCCCATAAATAGAGTGAGGCGGAGCATGCCTGTAATTCAGTACTCAGGGGATAGAGACAGGAAGATGGAGTCATCTTTGGCTACATAGTGAGTCCAGGCTAGCCTTGGATACCTGAGGCCCCGTCTCACGCTAACAAAACACATTTCCCTCAGTTACATGTGCCTGTTCTCTCTCGCTGCCCCAATAACTATACATCAAAATACATTCCCTGTCGTTTCTGACTTGGTCAGGGTTCAGCCACAACACGGAGTGGCTGGGTCTTCTGCTTCGGTTTCCCAGAACCAAAATCAAATTGTTGACTAACTGTATTTTCATTAGGGGCTTAGATTCTCTTGGGTATGTTTGTATTAACAAAATTCGGTTCATTTTTACATTTTGCACATTCCTCCCCTCCCCTATTTTCATGGGAGCAGTAGTCAAGCAACCCAGAGCAAGACCTAGGTAGTCTGTGTAAGGGTTTCCAGAGCTGAGGAGGATGACAGCAAGTGCTTGCCATTCAATCAGGATCCAGACTTAAAAAGCAAGGTGCTGGCCAGCGAGATGGCTCAGCAGGTAAGGGTCACCTGAGGTTGATTCTCAGGACCCACATTACGGATGGAGAGAACCAACTTGCCCTCCATGTTGTCCTCGGAGACCCACCTGCACCATGGCACACCCCCTGCCTCTCCAAGGACACACATAAAGGCCAGATTGAACAGTGTGCATCTGTAATCCCACAGCTGGGGAGGTAGAGAGAGGGGGCTCACTGTCTGACCATTGTCAGAACTGGTGAGCGCCAGGTTCAGTGAGAGGCCCTGCTTTGAAAGGCAAGGTGGAGAGAAGCTGAGGAAGATGCTGATTGCCGGCCTCTGTTCTCTGTGTACGTGAGCATATGTGCACCCTCACACATGCGTACACACAAGTGAGCATGTGCATACATCCCCAGACACTCACACATCTTCCTTTGCTGCCATGAGCCAGGGACAACCTGATTAAAGAGTGTTTGGGTTTGTTTATTTTGAAGGAGCCAGACTATGTGATTGCACCCTTGATTTAGTAAATGTGTGAACTGCAGTAGTTTACCTCATCTCTCGAGGCCTTAGTCTCCCCATTTGTAGCACTGCTATGATCCTCTTGGCAATGGTTCACAACCACTAAGGGTGAATACCGAGTGAACCAGATACTTAGAGAAAAAAAAAATGCCTTAACTATAAAAACCAGAAAAACCAAATTCCTCTGTTATTTTATTTATTATTTTGTAAAGAGTTATTCATTTATATGTATATAGCGTTCTGCTTGCTGGCAGGCGAGGAAAGGGCGCCAGATCTCATTATAGATGGTTGTGAGCCACCATGTGGTTGCTGGGAATTGAACTCAGGAAGAATAGCCAGTGCTCTTAACTGCTGAGCCATCTCTCCAGTCCGGTCCTCTGATTTTGAATGCATGCAGCATAATTAAATTTATTTCGTACCTCTGCCTCTTTGGTCGCAGAGCTCCTGTCATGACGTGTCTCACGTATTTGCTGTTTTCTCTATCGCGCAGAGGGAACTTTTTTGTTCTAATATTTTTATTGTTTTTATTGAACTATATATTTTTCTCCACTCCCCTCCCTTATTTTACCCTCCCCTTCTACCCTCTACCATGGTCCCTATGTTCCCAATTTACTCAGGAGATCTTATCTTTTGCAGAAGGAATTTTTGAAGCTCGTGGTTGAATAGACATAACTTTATTCATTTCAGGCATCGGTGACATTTGGGGACATAGCCATCTACTTCTCACGGGAGGAATGGGAATGGCTGAGTCCCACTCAGAAGGATTTGTACGAAGATGTCATGCTGGAGAACTATCAGAATCTGGTCTCTCTTGGTAAGGTGTCATGCTCCCCTCTCTCACCCTTTCAGTAATCAATCCATAACCTACCTGTGAAGGGCATGTGTCAGTCGGTCTGCTCAGGAAAAGGGAAGCCACTTAATTTGTACGCATCTCTTTTTAATGACTCTGTGTGTGTGTGTGTGTGTGTCTGCCTAGGTCTCCATCTAAATTATACAGTTGGTTGATTTTTACTGTAATCACAGAATTAGACATCAGTTACCATGGTCAATTTTAGGACTTTAGAGTTTTCATTACTCTCCAAAGAAACCCTGTAATCAAGAGCAATTCATTTCCAATGCCCATGTAGCCCTCGAGAGTGGGCAATCCCTAGCTCTCATCTGTCTCTTTGGATTTGCCAGTCTGAGCCTGTGTGCAAATGGGATTATAAACACACAGCCTTTTCTCTCTTAGCGTAATGTTTGAGGTTCACCCCTGTTTCAGCACATATCAGTACTTTGTTCTGGTTCATTACTGAGTAATTACATTGTCTGGCTAGATGTCTTTGTCTCATTTATCTTTTATTAACAGGTGGGTATTTGGGTTGTTGTACTTTTAATGAATTGCTGATGTGGGCAGTCATGAACAGGTTTTTGGATTTTTTTTTTGTTTTTTGTTTTTCAAGACAAGGTTTCTCTGTGTAACAGCTCTGGCTGGCCTGGAACTCACTCTGTAGATCAGGCAGGCCTTGAGCTCACAGAGATCCTCCTGCCTCTGCCTCCCAGATTAAAGTCATGCACTACCACTACCTAGCTTCATGAACAGGATTGGGGGTGTATATTTTTATTTCTCTTGGCTATAAATTTATGAATGGAATTGGTGGGTCATTTATAAACCACACTTTCTTATAATTTGTATATTTTATTTTACGTGTACGAGTGTTTTGCCTGCGTGTTTGTATGTATGTACACCATGTGCCTGCCTGATGCCTGTGGAGGCCAGAAGAAGGCATCAGATCTCCTAGGTCTGACTTGAACATCTGAAACCTCAAAGCCTATTCCCCCTCCCCAGTGACACATTTCCTCCACACCTAATAGTGCCTTTCCCTGTGGATCTATTAAGGGCCATTTCTATTCAAACCACCACAAACTCTGACTGGCAAATCTGGCAAAGGGATATTTAGATTGCAGAGCTTGGGGCCATGTAAGATCAAATTCTTTCACTTTTTAAATCCTTAATGGGTCCAGGTTGCTGTTTTTTGGTTATTTGTGTGTGTGTGTGTGTGTGTGCATGTGCATATGTGAAAGTTAATTTCTTATATAGAAATTATTGTATATAACTACATTATTTGCTTCTTTAATCCTTTTTAAAATTAGTTGTTTATTTTTATTTTATGTCCATTGATATTTTGCCTGCATGTATGTCTGTGTGAGGGTATCGGGTCCTGGAGTTACAGACAATTGTGTGCTGCCATGTGGGTGCTGGGGATTGAACCTGGGACCTCTGGATAAGCAGCCAGTACTTATCACCACTGAGCCATTTCTCCAGTGCTTATTTCTTGCTTTTGTACACTTTTGGCCTCAAAGCCTTGAGTGGAGGCACAGCATAACAATGGGTCACAGAATGGTGGCGGTTTAGAGTGAGCTGAAGGATGATCACTTACAACCTTGTCCCAAGAGCATTTGACCCTATGTTCAGAAAAGTAATTTATTCTGTAGAGTTAGTGTCTTAGGGCTTCAATTGCTGTAAAGAGACACCATGACCCCGGCAACTCTTAGAAAGAAAAGCATTTAATTGGGGCTGGCTGAGAGAGAGTTCATAGGTTTAGTCCATTATCATCTTGACGGGAAACATGGTGGCTGGAGAGGTAGCTTAGAGTTCTACATCTGGGTGGGCAGGCAGCAGGAAGAGAGAGAGTGCCACTGGCATGTCGTGGGCATCTGAAACCTCAAAGCCCCTTCCCCAGTGACACACTTCCTCCAACAAGTCCACACCTCCTAATAGTGCCACTTCCAAAGGGCTATGGGGGCCATTTTCATGTAAACCACCACAGTTAGTTTAAACGCTATTGTATAAAACTCAGTTTTCCTCTTCTCCTTATAACATTTTTAAGCCATCTCTCACATTTAACCTTCAGCACAGAATAGTCTGACACCAGAGGGGTGGAGGTTATTCCAGCACCAAACAATTCTTACTTAGATATTGGACAGACTTTGCAATTCTGACACTACTTACCTGGGTCAGTGTCGGAGCCAAAGATTAGTTATAATGGGATCTGATTCCCTCTTCTGATGTGTGTCAAGACAGGTCACTCATATACATAAAATAACTAAATATTAGAAAGAAAGAAAGAAAGAAAGAAAGAAAGAAAGAAAAGGGGAATCAGGAGAGATTCAGGGGAAAGAGTGCAGAATGCCTTCTCTAGGAATGGTGCTCCCCACATGTTCAGCGACCTCTGTGCTCTCTGAACTCCTGCTTTGGGCTTATAAAGACCTCATTGCATCGGTTTGATTGGTCAGTGTCTCACTAGCCCTCTTGTGAGGTTAGGGGACTGGATGGAGGTTCAAGCTTGAATCACTGTTGGTTTGTTGATTTCTCTGGCCCAACCTGAAAAGCTCCCCTGTGCACTTGCTATCATTAAGATATGAGAGACCCTAGAAATCACCATGTCTACCTTCTTCCCTGAAATGAAATAAATGAAATTTATGTCCTGACAATGCTGAAGCATGCATGGGCAGCCCATATATGGAGGTTCTATGGAACCTGTCCATATTGGGTTCATGGTCTAAGTTGATGAGGACGACTGACCAGGTCTCTTTCTCAAGAGGGCACCAGATCTCATTAAAGATGGCTGTGAGCCACATTGTGGTTGCTGGGAATTGAACTCAAGACCTTTGGAAGAGCAGGCAGTGCTCTTAACTGCTGAGCCATCTCTCCACCTTCTTCCCTACCCTACCTCCACTCTTCAGCTACCGCTCACATTCTGTGTATTTCCATTGTAATGACAAACCCGCATTTTATTGACACAGGGCATGGCTCCTATTTCAGTGGTGCCCACGTAATGACCACTTTCTTTATTTGTCCCGTGTCCAGGTCTTGCCTGCCGGAGGCCAAATATCATCACCTTGTTGGAGAAAGGGAAAGCACCATGGATGGTGGAGCCATCAAGACGGCGCCGCGGCCCTGGTGAGTGGCTGAGGACCAAGGCCTAGGTCTTATCCTTCAAGTTGCAGAAGGATGTACGAGTAGTACATTTACTGGGTTGTCTGTAAACCACAGAATATGTCATACACGGTCCTGAGAGTTGGTAATTCTAAGAGGAAGACTGTAGTAGAAGTAGTATCTGGTGACAACCTACTTCCTTCTTATTGTATCGTCATAGGGCCAGAAGGGTGAGGGAACACTATAAGGACACTAATCCTCGCCTGAGGGCTTCAACCCCAAAACCTGATTGAGTTCCAAGAGCCTTTACCCGGTATCCTAGTAGAGAAGTGGGCATTCTGCCTGGGATAGTTGTTACTCTTCAGAGGCCAGCCTCTACCACCTGAAGAAACTCAGCTCCAGCTTGAACCCCTCCCTAGGGCAGAGAGTTAAGGAGCCATTCTGTGCTGTGGTCTTTGTAGCGCCTAAAGTATGTCTTAGCCAGTGCCAGGAACCTTCCATGCTTTTCATCAGATATACAACGTAAATCCTGTGATATAAAACTTTCTGCTACTCCTTGAAATATTATAAAAGTCAGATATTTTCTGGGTTTGAGAGAGTTCTCTAAAGATCGCTCTGGGTACTTCTCTGAAGAGGCCCCTCTGGCCTCCTCCCAGCCACACATCTCATGGTTCTTGTCTCGGAGGCTTTCATTGTGTGAGAGTGCTCTCCCTCCTTCCTCCCTCCTCCCATCTTCTCACCCTGTCTCCTACTCTCACTTGAAAAGAAGATCCTCTCCAGGTAAAACCTCTTCTTCCATTTAAGACCCCAAATGATGTTTGGTTCTCACATACACTGAACCATTTACTATCCCACACTCTTCAGGCCTTGAGGTCTGATTGTGATCTTGAGACTCTCCTAATAAACTTTACTTCATAGTGGTGTGTGCCTTGAATCTGTATTCAACAGTCACGAGGGCGCTTCTTCTTTGAGATGTTACCTGAGAGCTTGCCACTACGCATGACAAAGCCTCAGGCCTGTGCAAAGAGCTCAGGTATAAAACCTTAGGGCGAGAATAACAAATGTTCATTTAGTCTCTGTTTGGTGTCAGGTACGCTTTGAGGTCATTTCCTCCCAGCAGGCTGTAGTGGGTGGATAAATTAGTACCGTGGCATCATAAGTGAACGGGGCACTGCCATCTAGAGAGGTCCTGTGACTTGATAGACCCAGAATCAGAGGTCAGTCTGCCTTTGTACCCAGAAATTCAGGTCTTCATCCTCCATGCCTCTGACACCCCATGTCTGTGCTTTCTCATTTGTGATCAGAAGGGATATCGGCTGGTCTCTGGTGACAACACTCTTGATAATGCTCAGATTTGAATGATTCTGTTATTTCTTAAAAAGTGTTCACCGTGCCAGGCATGGTGGTGTACGCCTTTAATCCCAGGACTCGGGAGGCAGAGGCAGGCGGATCTCTGTGAGTTTGAGGCCAGCCTGGTCTATAGAGGGAGTTCCAGGACAGCAGTGCTATTACACAGCAAAACCCCGTCTCCCAAACAAAACAAAACCAAACCAAAATGTTCATCTCTTCTGTAACGTTTCATTTTGGCTGCTAGTCAGTGACTTCCCTCGGCAGATAAATTCCTCTTTGGCTGTCCCAGGTAGACATCATTTAGTTTGAGTCTTTGAGCTAGGTACAAACCAGAGAGAAAGGCCACTGATGCGCAGCCTTTAGTGATTGAGAGCGTCTAAGTGTGTTTTATCACTTCTCAGTCACTAACAGATACTGAGTGCAGCATAAAGAGAAGTTAATTTGGTTCATGATTTTGAAAGGTTCAGTGCAGGGTGGACTGGATCCATTGTGTTTAGGCCCAAGAAGAGGCATAGTGGTGGGAATATGGAGCAAGGATGGTTCAGTCACATGATTGCCAGGAGGGGTCTGGGGACAAGGTGTATCTTTTCCAGACACACCTTCTGTAACATACTTCCTCCACCTAGGTCCAACTTTTTTTGTTTATTTGTTTCTTTGTTTTTTGAGACAGGGTTTCTCTGTGGATTTGGGGCCTGTCTTGGAACTAGCACTTGTAGACCAGGCTGGCCTGGAACTCATAGAGATCTACCTGTCTCTGCCTTCTGAGTGCTGGAATTAAAGGCGTGCGCACCACCGCTCAGCTAGGTGCAGCTCTTCTTACTCTCTACCACCTCTCAATAATGCCAGCATATTAGGAATCTATCAAGGGATTAATCTACCAATGAAAGCTTATGGGCCCTTATTGTCTAATCCCCTGTTAGCAATTAGACCCACCAGCTAAGGATCAAAGTCTTCAATACACAAGCCCTTCTGGGGAATGTTTTCATGTCCAAACCCCAGGAAGTTATGTAATACAAAGAAGCCAGAGCAATACCAACCTGTCAGGCACAGGTTGTGCACAGGTTGTGGTGCAGCGGTGCCAGGAAGGTGATGAAGGTAACCAGACACTCTCTGATTGGGTTTGAGCCCTGTTCCCCTGGGGGGAGTTTATGTCTTGTACTATAATCTTGCTCAAGAGTTTATGGCTCAAAAGTCAAGGACTCTGGGGAATGGGGACAGCTACTACTATTTTTTCTTTAAGAGAAGATGTCAGCACAATGTAAATCGAAGGTCCTATCTTCATTTTCCATCTTCATCTTGACACGAGAAGAAATGTTTTTATATGACATAATGCTGTTTTAAGTCACAGATGAAATTTAGCCATGTTACATATGGTTCAGAAAAAGCAAAAGTTAACAACTAAGGCTACCTAGTTGTCGATAAGTAATTTTTACAAAAGTGATGGTCATGGCTGTGCACAGTTTGTATAGTTTGCTTTTGTCATGTTGTATTTCGTTTCCATTTGGATTCTAATTTCTTATTAATAGGAGTGCAGTTATGTAAGTTGTTCATTTTAGTTTTTTCCCCCTTTGTTGTTTTGAGTCATAGAAGTATAACATGAGGGCCTGCTTGTGGGCCCCTCCAGTCCTGCCCAGTTCCCACAGCTGGTAAGTCCCAAAGAAATTCACACAGAGAGTCTATATTAATGATAAACTGGTTGGCCCATTAGCTCAGGCTTTGTATTAGCTATTATAACTTATATTAGCCCATTATTCTAGTATATGCTAGCAACATGGCTCAGTACCTTTTTCAGCGGGGCAGGTCACATCCTGCTTCTTCCATGGTCTGGGCAGGACTGGGGGGTGGGGGGTGGAAGCTTCCTTCTTCCCAGAATACTCCTGTTCTCTCTGCCCCACCTCTACTTCCTGTCTGGTTTTCCCGCCTATACTTCCTGCCTGGCTATTGGCCAATCAGCGTTTATTTAAAACATAATTGACAGAATATAGAACTGTCCCACACCACTTAGAAGTGTGACTAGATTCAAGGGTTATTCTCTAGAGATCTCTGAGTTGCTTTCCTGTTGCAGAGTTGCCAGGAAACCACCAACTGCAGCAGCCTCTCTAGGGCTGGATCCCAGCTGCCTCTCTAGGGCTGGGTCCCAGCTGCCTCTCTAGGGCTGGATCCCCAGCTGCCTCTCTAGGGCTGGATCCCCAGCTGCCTCTCTAGGGCTGGATCCCAGCTGCCTCTCTAGGGCTGGATCCCCAGCTGCCTCTCTAGGGCTGGATCCCAGCTGCCTCTCTAGGGCTGGATCCCAGCTGCCTCTCTAGGGCTGGATCCCCAGCTGCCTCTCTAGGGCTGGATCCCCAGCTGCCTCTCTAGGGATGGATTCTCAGCAGCCTCTCTAGGGATGGATCCTCAGCTGCCTCTCTAGGGATGGATTCTCAGCAGCCTCCCTAGGGATGGATCCCAGCAGCCTCTCTAGGATGGAATCTCAGCAGCCTTTCTAGGGCTGGATCCCAGCTGCCTCTCTAGGGATGGAATCTCATCAGCCTCTCTAGGATGGAATCCCAGCAGCCTCTCTAGGGATGGATTCTCAGCTGCCTGTCTAGGGATGGATTCTCAGCAGCCTCTCTAGGGATGGATTCTCAGCAGCCTCTCTAGGGATGGATTCTCAGCTGCTGTCCTAGTTGCTGGAGGAGTGAGCACAACCCCCGTGACTCCCAAAAACCTGTACCCCACGCCTCTGGGTCTCAGTTCCTTGACTAGTCCCTTTGACAGTTTAGTGTTTTTCCTTTCACTGCACTACAGTATTTGTCAGCCTTGCTAACACTGCCACCCTTTAATACAGCTCCTCATGTGGTGGTTACCCCAGCTGTACAATCATTTTACTGCTGCTTCATAACTGTGATTTTGATACTGTGATGAATCCTAATGTAAATATCTGATATCTAATATGTGTCCCCTGTGAGGGGGTCATTTGGCCCCCAGAGGGTGAGACCCACAGGCTGAGAACCACAGCAGTGATGGGTCAGAGCCGAGTCTAACCAGCAAGGAGAGTTAGCAAATGAGCGCCATCTACAGAACTGCAGCGTAATGGCAGTTCAACGTTCATTTTCACTAGCTTAGAAAAAGGATGGCGCACCTTTTTCTTTCCCTGAGGGGACTGGAGATAGCTCAGTGGCAGAGCACTTGCCTAGAGTGTACAAGGCCTTGACTTAGTCAGCAGTGCCTGAGAAAATAAAGATGTTCTCAGTAAATCGATAGCAATCAGTTTATGGAGCGCTTGCTAGGTCCAGGTTCTGTGCCAAGGCCTGCAAGTTCATTATCTCTTCTATCCTCTCCAATGATTGTGGAAATCTTTGTCATCCCCATTTGACAAATGAGGATTAAGACCCAGGCGAAATACCTTGCTTAGGATCTGTGGAAGAACCAAGGGGTTCATTACAGATAGATGGCCGTGAGCCACCATGTGGTTGCTGGGAATTGAACTCAGGACCTCTGGAAGAGCAGCCAATGCTCTTAACTGCTGAGCCATCTCTCCAGCCCTTCTGTTACTTTTCCTAATTCCTCCTTTTACCAGAGTGTAATTCTGGCATCCTGTTCTCCTGTTAGTAGTTGTGATAGTTATTACCAGATATTAAACAGCTGCAGGATTACAGAACTTTTCCCAGCATTCATGGAGTAGCATGTGCTTCATTGCTCCTGACTGTCCAGACTTGAGAAAGGTAAAGCGGCCCTAGTCTGTATGTTGCATAAGGCCGGGGCTATTTGTGATGATGTGTGATACTGTAATATAGTGTAGCTCGCTTCCTGTCCTAATTACTGTCCATCAGCTGTGGTAAAATGCTCTGAGAGATGCACATAAGGGGAAGTCACTGCTCCATTGCTGTGAGGAGACGCCATGAGCAAGGAAACCCATTAAAGAAAGCCTCTAACTGGAGGCTTGCCCACAGTTTCAGAGGGCCAGTCTAGTCCCTCACCAGCGGGGCAGACAGCAAACAGGCATTGAACTGGAGCAGTAGCTGAGGGCTTTCCATCTAGATCTGCAGGCATCAGGCAGAGAAAAATCTGAGCCTCCTGTGGGCTCTGGAAACCTCACAGCCTGTACCTCTACCAGAAAGGCGTCACCAACTTCTCATGGCCATGCGTCCTTGTCCCAGTCTCACTAACTGGTGGCTAAGCATTCAAATATATGAACCTTCTGGGGTCATTCTCATTCAAACAACCACAAAAGGGTTAATTTTGGTTTGTATTTTGAGTTCATCACAGAGAAGTCACAGACAGCAACTTGAGACAGCTATGAGAGCCAAGAAGTTAAATTAAGGATGGTTGTGCTTATTGAGTGTTTTCTTTTAAAGTAAACATGAATATCTGACATATACATGTATATATACACACACACATGTGCGCGCTATGTGCACAAACATAATCCTTTTTTTGAAGGATTTATTTATTTATTATGTATACAACATTCTGCTTCCATGTGTACCCACACACCAGAAGAGGGCACCAGATCTCATTACAGATGGTTGTGAGCCATCATGTGGTTGCTGGGAATTGAACTCATGACCTCTGGAAGAGCAGTCAGTGCTCTTAACCACTGAGCCATCTCTTATGTAGCCCAGGACATCACCCTGTGGAACGTCACCCACTGTTACCTAACAGTTTGCTGGGAGAGGGAGACAAACATCTACTCACCCCAGCCAGGGAACCAATGACAGATCAACATAAGGATACCACCAAAGGCCAACTTGATGGACCAGGGTGTTTTGTTGACGTTATTTGCAGAAATGACTCAAAGACGGCTACGTCATCAGAAGCCCACCCCAGAGTGTATTGTGTGACAAAGCTTTTCATGGGGAGACAACATACACACCTACTCACCCCAAATAGGGACCCCACAATAGATCAAAGTATGGATACCACCAAAGTCCAGTTTGGTGAACCACTGAGTTTTATTGGGGTTCCTTACAGGACTGTGGGTCAGGGGTTACTTACAGGAGCAGACATATGACTCAGAGCCAGCTGCATCACCAAGGCCCATCCCGCATAGGTGACACCTCACAAAAACTAGCAAACTTGGAGCACATCACACAGCCTACAGGCCGCTCAACAGGTGGGAGCGTGTCCTTTCCAAGTGACTGTTAGTACATTCGTGTTCTCAGGGTTCGGTATTCAAGAATGTGCTTTTAGGATTTATAACTTTATAGAGGTATTCACTATGAGTATAATCCAATTTTTCATAACTTTATCAAGTTTGATGTTACCATAATCCAGTTTTAGAGGTTTTCATCACACGGGTAACATCTCTTACTCATTTACAGTTAATTTCTATTTCCACTTTTAATCCCAAGTAACCACACCTTTTAATTCCCTTTTATGAATTTCACATAGTGAAATACATTTAACTAATGAACAGTCTATGGAGTTAAATGTATATGTTATAAAATATATTACATATATAAAAGTGATTTATTCTCTTTCAAACTTCAATGTTTCCTGAATTCCAGTTACTAAATATTTCTGGAAAGCCCTGTCCTATGTCTGTTTCCTGTTGCTGTGATTAATACCCAGAAAACAGCATCTTAGGAGAGAAAGGGTTTATTGGTTCGCAGTTCTAGGTTACAGTCCAAGCAACTAGCTGCTTTAGGTCCACTGCTAAGAGCTGAGAAATGTGTTAATGCATGCATTGCACAGCTGGCTTCCTTCTTTTTATTCTGTGTGGAACCCAAACCCAGGGATGGTGCTGCCCACAGTAGGCAAAGGTAATTACGACATTCTCAGATGTTCTTCTTCTGGGGGTTCTGGATTGTGTCACACTGATGATTCAAAGTAATCACCACAAAGCAAGAAGGCCATTAATAAAGAAATCTCTAAAATTTGAGGCCAACCTGGTCACAAAGTGAGTTTCAGGACAGCCAAGACTGTTACATGAGAAACCCTGTCTCAGAAAACAGACAAAAGTAGTCAGCACAAGACTTAGTACAGTAGTGGGGTCTAGAGAAAGACACATTGTTCTCTCCTCTTAGCATTGTGCTGTTATAACCACTAATTATAATGACTCCTTTTTCTTCAGCACAGGAAACTAATTCTAACTTCCTGGTATATTTCAGAATCAGCGTCTAAGTGTGAGACCAAGAAGTTACCACCAAGTCAATGTAACAAATCTGTGCAAAGTATTCATCAGAAACCAGTTTCTTCACAACAAAAGGTCACCACCGGGAGGACAAAACAAAACAAAAATTCATTTGTAAGAAAGCCCAAGAAAGGACATTCAGGCAAGAAATCTTTAAAGTGTAATAATTGTGGAAAAACCTTTTTTCGAAGTCTGTCTTTTAAACTTCATCAAGCCTTTCACACTGGAGAGAGGTCTTACGGATGCAGTAGCTGTAGACAAGTTTTCAGACAGATCTTCTCCCTCATTCTTCATCAGAGAGTTCACAGTCGGGAGAAAAGCTACGAATGTGATAAATGTGGGGAAAAGTTTCATAAAAAATTAACTCTTCTGATACATAGGAGGATTCATAATCGAAAGGAAAATTTTAACCATGAGAAGGCTCCAGGTTCATGCCCACATCTCAGTGTACCCCATAATAATCACATGGTTGAGAGTATTCACCAGTGCAGAAAATGCGGGAAAGCCTTCAGCCGAATGTCATCCTTTATACTTCATAAGAAAATTCACAGTAGAAAGAAAATACAAAAGTGTAGTAAATATGGGAGAGACTTCAAAAAGAAGACAGTCCTTGTAAATAAAAGAATTTGTGCCGGAAAGAAAACTCATGGAAAAGGGAAGGCCTTACACCAGAGTCCCCAGCAGAGACCTTGGCATTTAGAGCATCCTTTTACATGTAGGAAATGTGGGAAGTCCTTCAGTAGGATCTCACCCTTAATGCTTCACCAGAGATTTCACACTTCAGGGAAACCCTACAAATGTGATAAGTGTCAGAAAGACTTCAGACGCCTTTCAACCCTTATTCTGCACCTGAGAACTCATAACGGGGAGAAGCGGTTTAAGTGCAATAAATGTGAGAAGGTCTGCCATCGCTATTCATCCCTTATTCAACACCAGAAGATTCATAAAAGGAAAAAGAAACTCATCGAATGCAAGGAATGTGGAAAGATGTTTTGTGGCATTAAAAACCTTAAAGTCCATCTGAACATTCATTCAGAAGAGAAGCCTTTCAAATGCAATAAATGTAGCAAAGTTTTTGGCCGCCAGTCATTTCTTACTGAACATCAAAGAATCCACACTGGAGAAAAGCCCTATCAGTGTGAAGAATGTGGGAAAGCGTTCAGCCACCGGATATCTCTGACCCGACATAAGAGAATCCACAGTGAAGACAGACCTTATGAATGTGACCAGTGTGGGAAAGCCTTCAGCCAGGGCGCTCATCTTGCCCAGCATGAGAGAATTCACACTGGAGAGAAGCCCTACGCATGCAAGACATGCAAGAAGTCCTTTACTCAGCGCATATCCCTCATTCTGCACGAAAGAAGTCACACTGGGGAGAAGCCCTACGAATGTAACGAGTGTGGGAAGGCCTTCAGTAGCGGCTCGGACCTTATACGGCATCAGAGAAGTCATTCTCTGGAGAAACCGTACGAATGTAGCAAATGTGGTAAGGCGTATAGTCGGAGCTCATCTCTGATTCGACATCAGAGCACACATTCAGAGGAAAAGTCCTGACGTTGCTGCTAACTACAAAAGCTGGAAAGGATGTCAAAGAAGTGTTCAGAGGCATGGAGAATGTGCGTGAGTGTTCTCGACTTACGATGTATGTCCTGATAAACTCACCATAAGTTGAAACATTTAAAACAGAACTGTATTTAGCATAGCTACCCTACCAAATGTGATTGTTTAGCAGCGCAGTATAACGTGGAGTTCAGTTGTTCTCAGCTGATCCTGCTGCCCAGCAACTTGAGAGCAATCATACTGCTTATTGCTCATCTTCAGCCTAGCAAAAGACCACAATTTCTAGCCTAATGGATATTGCTTCTGTGCCATCACAATGCTGAAAAATCCTACATCAGAAATCATTAATTGGAGGGAGGGAACTATCTGCCTATAAAATGTTTTGTGCCTTTGGGGCCATTTTATGATATCCTCCCCTTGAAAGCCAAAGCACAAAAGTAGTTGGCGGACTTTGAACTGAAGATCTGAAATCAGCTGAGGTACGCTCAGGATACTGGCCCAGGGTTTTTCAGTTGCTATTTTATTTCCAGTGTAGTTTTGAGGACAGTTCACTGGATTTATACAATCAAATGGAACTGTGAGTCCATCTTTCTCTAGATGGTGCTTTGAGCCCAAGTTGAGGTCCCAGGAGAATGGAGTGTTGAGTCTGTTCTCAGAACTGTATGTAAAGACTAACAGGCAAAACAGGAAACAGCTGGACTGTGGTAGTACACACCTTTAATCCCAGCACTCAGGAGGCAGAGGCAGGCGGATCTCTATGATTTTGAGGCCCAGCCTGGTCTACAGAGCGAGTTCCAGGACAGGCTCCAAAGCTACACAGAGAAACCTAGTCTTGAAAAACCAAAAACGAAGACCTGGATAGAGGTGGGCAGTCCTTGGGCTTCCCACAGGTCAGGGAACCCTGATTGCTCTTCGAGCAGATGAGGGGGGGGGGACTTGATCGGGGGAGGGGGAGGGAAATGGGAAGCAGTGGTGGGGACGAGGCAGAAATCCTTAATAAATAAATAAATTAAAAAAAAAAAAAAAGAAAAACCAAAAACGAAACAGGAAACAGGGTTCCTCTTCTCCTGACAGAAATGTGTTGGGATGAGAACAGAGAAGTGTTAAAGTAGTGTTGGCAGTGGTGTGCTGCAGTCAGTAGCACACTGACTCCGTGGATGCCAAGATGCACTGGGAAAATTTAGTGTGATTAAGACAGGCTCGGGGTTGGGTGGGCAGGAGAGACTGGAGAATGGGGAACTTCAGAGCAGGGAGAAGTTATTTTTTACCTTTTTATTTGAACATAAATTGTCTATATTTATATAAATAAACAGCATTTTCATGTAATATTGCTAGTTGTTGTGCGAAAAGTAACTGTTTTTATGGCTTGAACATTTGTGTTACCCCAAAACTCATATGTTAAAGCTCTAACTCCTCAGTGTGATATTTGGAAATGAGACTAATGAAGTCATGATGTGGATGGGCCTTTTTGATAAGTGTATTGATCAGAGACACCAGAGGGCTTGATCTCTTTCTATACCGTGTGAGAACACAGACGGCCATCTGCAAACTAAGAAAAGGCCCTTACCACTGACCAGTGTGATACCCTGATGTTGGATTTCCAGCCTTTGGAGGAACTGTGAGAACCTCATTTCTCTGTAAGTCAACCAGTCTGTGATAGTGGGTTGTAGCACCTCGAGGTGATAAATTCATGGAAGTACTCCTGGGGTAGTGTACTGGCTGTTTCCCTTTGAGCTATCCAACATGTTCAGTGTATTTTTCTGCCCCTCTTTCCAGCTTGTGTACGTTGTATAAGAAATAAAGTCCGAATTCTTCTGTGTGATTCAACTGTATACAGTCAGGCTCTTTTGTATGAGTTTTCCTTGTGCAAAAGCTATTTAGGAGAACACCTGTTTCTTGTTAAGAAAAGTTTATAGTGTTTGACCAAGATGGTCTAATTTTGACCACAAGTGTTGGGGTTTGAATACGAACTGTCCACCATAGGCTCATCATCTCCAGCTGGCAGGTGACTCTGGGAAGTTTTGGTGAGGTGTTACTGGAGAAACTAGATCATGGGGGTGTGGCTGTGTCTTTGAGGGGTTGAGTCATGCCCCACCCTGTCTTTTAAAACAATTTCTTAAGAATTTAAATTTAAAATTTTATTTATACGTATAAATTTATGGTAGCAGAGGCAGACCCACAGCTAAACATTAGACCAAGCTTAGGAAACCCTGCAGAAGAGGGGGAGAAAGGCTTGTAGAAGCTGTTAGGGTCTGAGAGAAGCCCCCAAGGAAAGACCAACAGCCACGTATGCAGTAACAAGAGCACTTTATTAATTTCAATGTTGGGGTGGCACCTGGTGACCCTCAAAGCAGGTCATGAGCTCCTTTTTTAGCAGAGTTAGAGGAATTCCAGGGAGGAGGGATTAATCTGGGGCTGATTGGTGGGGAAAAAATTAGCATGGGACTGATTGATGGGAGGTCCTAGTAGTTAGGGACCTTCCAGCAGCAGGGTAGGGAACACTATCTTTAGTTATCAGGAGACTGGGGGCGCCTGCTGAGCCAGCAAAGGAGCTTTGGGGGCCTTCTGAGCCAGCAGAAGGGGGCTGTGGAGTGCCTTAGCCAGCAGAAGGGGCCCTGGGGTGCCTGCTGAGCCAGCAGAAAGGCTGTGGGGCGCCTGCTGAGCCAGCAGAAGGCGCCTGCTGATCGGTTGCGCCTAAGCTGTGGTTTTACTGAGCACAGTCTGTTGAGCTCTGTTCCATTTAGTGAACTGAAACTAAAACCTAGTCTCTATTAGGGCTACCAGGAGAGCCTGTCTTGGCTCTGCTGCCCCACCACAAGCCCTCTCAGGAGCTAGAGGGGTTGAAGTCAGAGAATCAATTGAGCAGGACACACAGGGGCTCAGAGACTGAAGCAGCAATCACAGAACCTGAATGAGTCTGTGTTCGGTCCTCTACGTGTTATGGTCGTTTAGCTTGGGGGTTTTGTGCGACCCCTAACAGTGGGAGTGGGGGGTGTCTCTGACTCTTTTGTCTGCTCTTGGGACTCTTTTCCTCCTACTGGGTTGCCTCATCCAACATGAGGTTGGCATGAGGTTTGTGCCTACTCTTTTTTTTTTAAAGGAAAGTTTTTTTAAATTAATTAATTAATTTATTTATTTATTATGTATACAATATTCTGTCTGTATGCCTGAAGGCCAGAAGAGGGCGCCAGACCTCTTTACAGATGGTTGTGAGCCACCATGTGGTTGCTGGGAATTGAACTCAGTACCTTTGGAAGAGCAGGCAATGCTTGTAACCACTGAGCCAGCTCTCCAGCCCCTGTGCCTAGTCTTATTGTAACTTGTTATGCTGGTTGCTATCCCTGGAAGGCCTGCTCTTTTCTGAAGAGAAATGGAGGCACAGTGGATCTGGAGGAGAGGGGGAGGTGGGGCTACTAGGAGGAGTGGAAGGGGAAGGGAGGGGAAGCTGCAGTCAGAATGCATTGTATGAGAGAAGAATAAAGAGTTTAAAATATTTTATATGTATGGATGTTTTGCCTGCACCATGCATATGCCTGGTGCTCTTGGAGACCAGAGGAAGGCATCCGATTCCCTGAAGCTGGAGGTCCGGTTGTGAGTCACCATGTGGATGGTGAGAATTGAACCTCTGCTCTAAACTGCTGAGCCATTTCTCCACCCCCATCTCCCCTTTCACGTCAACAAATTTAATAGTATTTTGTTACGGCAGCTGAAGCTGACTAATACATTGGGGAGCTTTCACAAGAGCCTTCTCTACCTCTCCCCTCTCCCCTCCCTCTTCTAATTACCACATGAGAGTTCTGCCCTACTATGCTGCTCACCCTACTATGATGGATAAAACCAAAATAAATCTTTCCCTGTTTTGCTCAGGTATTTTGTCTCAACAATAAACAGTCTAATACAAGTAAGAAAACAACCAAAACTTATGGAAGTTCAACTTGCAGGCAGGGTAAATGCAGCTGGCATGCTGTTTAAATGTTAAATTTTCAGATCTGTAAACAAACATAAGGTCACTGCACAGAAGAGGTCAAGAAGAGGCACATTTTTCTCTTTCCCTGTCTACCCACCTTCACCCCTGCCCAAATCTTTGTCTTCTAATCTGCCTGGAAGGCTGGCTCCAGGTCAACGGTGTCCCATTTGGGATGTGGCTCAGTGGTAACAGAGTCCGTGTACTCCACTTCGCTGTGCCAAACACTGACCGAAACAACTCAGAAAGAGTGAGTTTATTTGGCCACACTTGCAGGGCACGGTGGGTCCATCACTGAGAAGTCAGGGTAGGAACTCAGACGGCAGCAACTGGAGAAATGCTGTTTCCTAGTTCCCAGGCTCATGCTTAGCTAGCTGCCTCGTATACCTCAGGTCATCTTGCTCAGGGAATGGTGGTGCCTACTCACAGACATCAATTTCCAATTAAGACAGTCCTCCACCGACATGCTCACGGTCTGATCTGGGAAATTCCTCAGATAAGACTCCAAATGACTCTAGACTACACACCTGATCGACCTGAGTTCAATCCCTGGGGTCTACATGGAGAAAGGCGAAACAATTGCAGCAGGTTGTCCTCATACACATACAATAAAATGCAATTTTATAAAGGATATATAAGATTGAACTGCCAAAAGACACCTTAAATGCGGAAATTAAATGTATAATGGTGTGCGTGTGTAGGTGTGTGTGTGTGTGCATGTGTGTGTGTGTGTGTGTGCATATGTGTGTGTGTGGAGAGAGGGTGAGGGTGGCAGGGGTAATAGGTGGTATAAGCACTTGAAAAGCTGAAACCAAAACAAGGAATAAATGATAAAAGTTATAGAGTAATTCCTAGTTTGTGCTAAGGCCGTGGATTCAATTCTTAGCATAGAAAAGAAAAGCTATAATAAAGGGGCAATTTCCAAGAACACACACTCTTAAATGGACATAAATTCACTTACAGAGGTACAAATTAAATGACGTTAAGGAGCCAATAGAAGCAAAAGAAGAGATAGATCTGGAGCAGGTAAGCGTTTGGGATGGCTTAGCAACCAGGATCCCTGCTTGGCTTAAGCTACCCACATACCTTTTCCAAAAAAAAAAAAAGTGTTTAGCAACTTCACCTTCAAGCTACATGCATGTTACACATGCAAAACACAAACATAAGGCCCTACATTCAGATCTCCAGCACCCATGTAAGTCAGGCTTTACAGCCTGTAACTCTAGTTGTGGGAGGTGGAAACAGGTGGATCTGGGGGGCTTGCTGGTCAGACAGAATAGTTGAAAAGGTGAGCTCCAGGTTCACTGAGAGATGCTCTCAAAAAATAAAGCAGGGCGAGGCATGGTATATGCCTTTAATCCCAGAACTCAGGAGGCAGAAGTGGGGAGATACTTATGAGTTCAAAACTAGCCTGGATTACTAAATAGATAGTTCGTAGTTAACAAAACAAAACAAACAATAGGGGCCTGGAAAGATGACTTGGTGATTAAGAGCACTTGGTGCTCTTCCAAAAGACCCAGTTTGAGTTCTCAGTACCCATACAGTGGCTCATAGCTGCAACTCCAGTTCCAGAGGCTCTGATGCCATCTTTTGGCCTCCCAAGGTACTAGGCATGCGTATAGTGCACAGGCAAACATACAGGCACAACACCCATACACATACAAATAAAAACAAGACAATGCTGGTAGAACATTTTCCACAAAATCCTCTCAACCTCAGCTGGATCCCCTGAATCTATGTTAAAGTCAGATATGGTAGCATCCATGTCTGTAATCCCTACTCTTAAAAGTAACCCCTCATCCATACTCCTGCTAGGAACCCCAATAAAAACTCATTTGGGAGCTGGAGAGACTCCCAGCACCCTCGTGGTAATTCAAAACTAACTATAACTCAGGTTCCAGGGGGATCTGACACCCTCTTCTGGCTTTCTTAGGCATTAGACATACATATAAAATGCAGATTAAAACAAACAAACAGGCCTGGCAACTAGCCGGCCCCGCTCCAGCTTCTCCTGCGCTTCCTGGAGGCCGACCCGCGGGGTCTGCTATGCGGGCCTCGACCTTTGTTGGGGCTCCATCCCCAACTAAGACTACTTTTTTTTTTTTTTAAAGTCAAGGCCAGACGGTTTTATTGTAAAATTCCACCAGACTTTCAAAGAAGGGTTAATGTCAATACTCCTCAAGTTATTCCATAAAATAGAAACAGAAGGAATAGTACCCATTTTTTACGAGGCCACAGTTACCCTAATACCTAAGCCACATAAAGACCCAACAAGGAAAGAGAATTACAAATTAATACCACTTATAAATATAGATGCAAAAATTTCTCTATTAAATGCCTGCCCCAAACACTTTATCTACAGTGGTGAACTGCCTACAAGATATGCCAGAGTAGACTACTTTTAAGAGAAGCTGAGTCGATACGTTTTAGAAACGTGGTGTCGCTTTCTTTTAAGGTCGCGATGGCTGAGGTTTACCTCCGAGGTTACAAATTTTTGTCTTCTATCTTTATAGGCTGAAGGGGATACTAAAGGAGATAAAGCCAAGGTGAAGGACGAGCCACAGAGAAGATTGGCAAGGTTGTCTGCTAAACCTGCTCCTCCAAAGCCAGAGCCCAAGCCTAAAAAGGCCCCCGCAAAGAAGGGAGAGAAGGTACCCAAGGGGAAGAAGGGGAAGGCCGATGCTGGTAAGGATGCCAATAATCCTGCAGAGAATGGAGGCGCCAAAACAGACCAGGCACAAAAAGCTGAAGGTGCTGGAGACGCCAAGTGAAATGTGTGCGTTTTTGATAACTGTGTACTTCTGGTGACTGTACAGTTTGAAATACTATTTTTTATCAAGTTTTATAAAAATGCAGAATTTTGTTTTACTTTTTTTTTTTAAAAAAAGCTATGTTGTTAGCTTCATTGTTTTGGGTGGGGGGGAACATGTGTCACTAGCAGTGTCTCCCAAGCTGGATGAATGATGGTTCATGATGGAAAACATCTTTCCCTGATAATTTTGAAAGACTCCTCTTGTCCCAGGAGAGGCGTCCTGGGGACATGTTGACATGTGCGGCCACCATGGCACAACATGCCTTGTGTGGGAAAACTCAGTTCATTTTTATATCCTCCTCCCCCTGTACCATCAACATAGACTTAACTCCCTTAAGACCAGAGACCTGTTGGAACCTGATCCCCAAAATTGGTTTTGCCAGTCTGTTGGGCAATCCAGACTTTGCAGTGATATCATTGAGTGTCCTCAAAAGCGCAGCGGTTTCTTTTATAGAAGATTGTGGATCTGCAGATTGATAATTCTGCCATTTTCATTTCATTTCCTGAAAGTCAGGGTCGGCTTGTGAAGAGTTGTGAAACAACATCCTCGATGTGAAATGTCAGCCCTCACTCTAAACTCCTCCCCCTTTGCAGAGCATCCAATGAAGACTCACCAGGTTTTATAGTGGCTTTCTGATTTTGGTAGTCGATACAAGAAGGGAGTTTGGAAGTTCTTGTATACTGTTACTGATTGATGTTCTGCCTGGAAAACCATGATTGTTTATGAAAAGTGTCTTTAATAAAGCTGGATACAGTTTGGCTTGGAAAAAAATAAAACAAACAACAACAACAAAAACCAAAAAAAAAAAAAACCCCAAAAACCTCATTGGTTTAGATGCTATCACTGCTTTGGTCTGTAGTGGGTTCCCTTTCTGGGATGAGTAGGTGTGTGTGTGTGTGTGTGTGTGTGTGTGTGTGTGGTGTGTGTGGTGTGTGTGTGTGTGGTGTGTGTGTGTTGCATCTCCTGAGCATGGCTCTGTAGGGTTGCTCCAGGAAGTTGTCATTGCTGTTCCCATAATATTAGGTCGCTAGCTAGGCATTAGCAGGCTTTAAAGTTGCTGAGTGTTAACTCTTCCCTCAGTAGCAGCAATTTGTAAAACCAGAAAACAAAAATGCAGGACCTTGATTGTCAGTCAAAAGAGAGCGATAAGCCAGGCGGTGGTGGCACACGCCTTTAATTCCAGTCCTCAGGGAGATGGAGGCAGGTGGATCTCTGTGAGTTTGAAGCCAACCTGGTTTACAGAGTGAGTTCCAGGACAGGCTCCAAAGCCACAAAGAGAAAGCCTGTCTTGATAAAACAAAAAGGAAAACAAAACAGAAAACCCCACAACAACAAACACCAGTGCAATTGGAGTCAAGTCTCTGGTTTTCAGTAAAGACATGACATTTTGAGCTGCTCAGAGGGCTTTCTGGTAAAGAACAGAGATATACCATTGTTCCCTCCCTTCAGAGTTAATCCAAATGGGCCTGCCTGTCAGTCACCCACGCAGAAAAAACGGTATGAGGAAAGCTTTCTGTTCAAGAGCCAACAGAAATATCAAGGCTGCCTAGCTTTCTGTGGCTACTGTCCACTTTTGCCCACAATGGTCCCTCCCCACTTGGGAGTAGTGTACTTTGCCTTTTTTGTTGTTTTTATTTGTTGTTTCGAGACAGGTTTTCTCTGTGTGACAGTACAGGCTGTCCTGGAACTTGCTGTGTATACCAGGCTGGCCTTGAACTCACAGAGATTTACTTGCCGCAGTGCTGGGATTAAAGGTGTGTGCCACCATACCTGGCCTGGCCTTTTAATAGAGACCTATTATCTACTCAAGGCTGTGTGGGTCTTGCCTGAATTCTTCCTATAGAGATCACATAGACTAGGATGCTGAGGGGAAGGCAGAGCCAGAGCTTTGGCAACACTTACGATGATTATTCTTAGTCAGGGTACAATTTCAGCATCATATGGGGTTTTCATCCTCTGTCAGAAAAAAATGTGTGTGCACATGCATGCATGCATGTATGTGGAGAGTAAGTATGTGTGCAGCATGTGTCTGGAAGTTGATGTCAAGTGATCTCAATTGTTCTCCACTTTTAAAAAGAATGACTGTATGTGTGTATGTATGTGAGGGAAACTCTGCCGTGTTGCAGACATGGAGATTAGAGGACAACTCTGGGGAGTAGATTCTCTTCTGCCCCTTTCCTATAGGTCCTGGGGCATGAATTCAGGTCATCAGGCAAGTGCAGCCAGAGATGATATGGACTCAGCCATATTGATGGCCGGTCCCCTTAGGTTTTGAGGAAGTCTGTCACTGAGACTCATCGGTTTAGATAAGCTGAGGAGTCACCAGGATCTGCCTGTCTGCTCTTGCAGTGCTATGGTGACAGACTGGCACACTGCTGTACCAAACTTTTGGGTGGTTGCTAGGAATCTGAACTCAGGTCCCCATGCTTGCATGGAAGACAGTTTCCTGGCTGAGCCCTTCACAAACATTGACGGGCACTGCTGCTCCTAGAATGCAAGGTGACTGCAGGTTTAGGGTAATAACCAGGGACCTCTGGCCACCTTTTATAGCGGTCGTGGGACTAAGATGGAGTCACTGCCTTTTAGCAAAGGAGCTTGTAGGCGCCTGTTATAATCCCAGACACTGGCAACATGTATTCTTTCCATTTTCCTTATGCACATGAATAGTTAATTAATTTCATGGACATTCTCAAATAATGTTTTTGTTTTTTTCTATTTGATTTCCATCTGGAACTGGGGAGGTGGCAGGTGATGGCGACTGAACCTTGGTAGGGCCTCCCTCATACATGCTGAGCTGGTACTCTGTCGTCGAGATGCACTCCAAGCCTTCTGTTCTTTCTGTAGTTCCCATTCATATTTTAAGAGATTTTTTGTATGCTATGCGTATGTCGTGTTTTGCCTGCATATCTGTATGTGCATCACTTGCACGCACTGTTCATGGGGGCCGGAAGAGGACATCAGAAGCCCTGGACCTGGAGTTACATACAGGTGGTTGTGAGCCACCACGTGGGTGCTGGGAACAGAGCCCAGGTCCACTGCAAGAGCAGCAAGTGCTCTTAACTGCTGCGCCTTCTCTGCAAGCCCCTAGTGTCTATTCTTAGGACGTCTTCTTTGAACTGAGTTCTTGAAAAGGGTGCTAGTTTGGTTCAAGTTTAGGGCACAGTTGGGTTATCTTTCTGTTGTTTCTTAGGTCATTCCATTCTTGCCAGAAAGCATTTATTTCACAAGACGTGAGTTCTTCTGAGTTAGCTGAGACACAGTGCTGTGGAGATAACGCATTGATTATGAACACAGAATCCACACTGGATGGCTCATCAACAGGTGCAACTCCAGCTCCAGGGACTCCAGTGCTGCCTTCTGGCCTCCTCAGGCACTTGCATGTATACACGGACACATGTACACACACGCACGCACACACACCTATTCAATTTCTTTAAAAAAAAAACTGGAGTTTTTTGAGATAGTGTTAGTCTCTAACAGGCTGTCCTGAAACTTGTTTAGTAGACCAGGCTGATCTCAAATTCACACAAATCCACCTGCCTCTGTCTCCCGAGTGCTCCCGAATGTGCCACCACTGCCAGCTGGAGATGTGTTTTAAGGCCTTAGCTGTGGTACATCTTGGTAAGTGCTCTAGTTCACAGAATATGATCAAATTATCTGCACTGTTTTTAAATATCCATTTTCTTTTGTTTACATATATATATAATGGATATATCTCAGTAAATTCTACCTTGGAGTGAGTTTTTTCTTTTTTTCGAGAAAAGTAAGTGTGGCTTCATAGAAGGTGAATAATGAAATTGTTTTTCTTATTTAGTCACATATTTACATATTCATACTCTCCAGTGTGACATCAGTCTAATGTCAATCCAACTGCAATACATATATATATTTAAGATAGGGTCTCATGAAGCCCAGGCTGGACTTGAACTTGCTATGTAGCTCTGGGAGTGGACCAGGCCTGTGCCTGCTAAGAAAGCACTTTACAAGCCGAGCTGCAACCTCAGTCTCCAACTTCAGTATTTCTAATAAAACCAACGTTAGAGCATGCAGGTCTGTGTTTTTGCTTCTTCATGATTAAAATGATCAACTCTTCTTTGTGCATCATCGTATTTTTATTTTAGATTAATATTATTTTATGCTAGGCACTCTGCTAAGAAATTTACATGCATTATTTACTTTTCCCAATAACTTTTGAGGTAGAACCATTATTAGTCCCATATAGAAATAAGACGGAAGGTTACAAAAGACCAAAAGCTCTAAAATTAGGGATGGGAAATGGAAGAGCAAGGATTAGAGCCTAGATCTATTTTAATTCTGGATGTTCCAAGGGAGGGGGAACATTGGCATGAAGGGTTTAGAAGGTAGTTTGAAACAAGGTGCTGGGGACAAGGTGGCCTGTTAGGTTACTTTAAGGACTGTGTGCTTTTCCCCTATGAACTTTTAGATGTCAGTAAGTAAGTAACCTTAACTAATGAAGGATAAATAATAAGACCAAAATGTGTTCTTCTAAAGTTTGGATGAAGTGTGAAGACTGACCGAGGCATGGGTGAGTACACTGGAAGGCTATTTCAGTACCCCACACAAATCAGATTAACAAGTAGACGACAAGGAGGATGAAATAGCAAGGGTTCTAATGGGTCAGATTTGGATCATATTATGAGATCAAATCTATAGCTATTGGCAACTGACTGGATGTAGAGGGTGATGGAGAGGAAAGGGACAGGAACGACTCCATAACATGGACCTTCTCATGATGAGCAAGGTGTGCACGTTGCCTGAAGGATTTCCTGCAATCTTTACATTCGTACGGCTTCTCTCCGGTATGAATTCTCTGATGGAGAGTGAGAGAGCCACTATAACTGAAGGCTTTCCCACAAATATTACATTCATAAGGTTTCTCTCCAGTATGGATTCTCTGATGCTGAGCAAGGCCGGCATTTTGGCTAAACGTTTTCTGACATTCCTTACACGTGTAGGGTTTCTCTCCAGTGTGACTTCTCTGGTGCTGAGTGAGTGAGGAACTGTTGCTGAAGGCCTTTCTGCATTCGGCACACTCATAGGGCTTCTCTCCAGTGTGAACCCTCTGGTGCTGATCAAGGTAAGCAATCTGGCTAAAAGCTTTCCTGCAGACTTTACATTCGTAAGGTTTTTCTCCAGTATGGACTCTCTGGTGCTGAGAAAGGTGTGCGTACTGGCTGAAAGACTTCCTGCATTCTTTACATTCATAGGGCCTCTCTCCGGTATGAACTCTTTGATGTACAATTAGGTATCCACGGTGACTAAAAGCTTTCCC